AATTCTCTCTGTCGATTGACACTACCGGTGTCAGGGATTCTAAAGCACCACCCCCGATGCCTTGGGCATCTTACATCAAAACTTCACGAAACTTAACGAAGGTCGGCTCACCCAACGCCCGATTCCAACGACTATTCAAGGGCACCAACTTAATATCCGAGTTGTGGAAGTCGCTTCCATTCACAAAACACCCATCAATCAAGGAAAACATGAGCAAGTACATCATGGACTGCCATCCACTCCCTGGGCTAGTCGATCCCAGTGGACAAAGTTCCGTCGGCGTCGACGGCTTGATCGTATGCGTCCATGGCGAATTCGAAGAATGCGACCAACAGACACAAAAAACCGGCCTCCGAAGCTTTTCTCGATCCTTCGTTTTAGGTCCTGGTCGACCAGGGACTGTGCCCATTCGGGTTGTGAGCGATATGCTCTCTCTCCGAGCCTACAGCCCGCTTCCAAACGTCTTTGCGGCGGCAACCCCCCAACCAGCCGAGCAACCGAATCAGCAACAAGCCATGGTTGCGGAACTTTCCAAGCGCACAGGAATGACTGCCCAGTACTCGGAAATGTGCCTCACACAAGTCAACTGGGACTTCGAAAAGGCCCTGGCGGTATTCAACGAAAAAAAGGTAAGTGCCCAATGCTTCCTACCCGAACCCGGTTGTGTCTGTTACTTGTTTACTAATATTTATTTAGTCGCAGTTACCTGCGGAGGCGTTCAACGCAATCCCACAATAGGGTTGAAGATATCTGCCCACAATTCAGGCGCGTTTCGGTTTCGAAACGGCCCATCCACATGGAGAGCGGTTATTCATACTTAGATTTGGAATTGAATATATTTTTGTCATTGTAGCGAACGGATGGGGAATCGAATGTTTTTTTACGAAGGGGGATACAGACAGCATCAGGGATGAATGAGAAGAAACAAGGGTACCGCCTCCCGCGAAGTGGGAGGCAAGCATCATCAAAGAATGAAACAATGGATCTTGCAATGTTACAGTTTTGGATCTGGCATTATTATTTTCACACAATTTCTCGTCCCTCGCAGTGCCGTGCATGTTGTGATATGCGAAGGGGGGGGTTTAGCCATTTACCTAGGTATCTTATCGTGACTCTGTCGCGAGCGGTAGGAATAAGTATGTGGGAGGATTCGCTTTTCAAGTTAGGTAGTGGGTGTCGATGGTGTGTTTTTGCTGTTAATTAAGGCAATCCTCTTTAATTGCGATGATATCATCGCTCCCAATCCACGTAGATAAGATCCGAATGATCAATTCACTAACAAATCGCACTTCAGCCGTAGATGGCTGACGCCATTCATGATTGGGCATGCATTAGCTTAGCTGTGAGGCCCAGGTTAGATAGCTCCGCTAACGGCTTCGAGCTAGGTGTCTGTTCACACCCAATCCCTACCCTGCACCTCATCACCTTGCTTGATGCCGCGCGCTTGGAGAGGGAGGGTGTGAGTTTTGTGTGATCATTTCAGTCGGCGATTCGAAATTGTAATATTGGTGATGGCTACTAGTGGCGCTTGCATTCCTCCAATTATGGGGGTTTGTACGGAATTTTCAAAGTCACATGGCAGGTTGTGAATCTTGATGAAGAATTTCAGATATTGGTGTTGGGGTAGCAAATGCAGGGCCTGACAGAGCGCTTCACGAAAGTCCCATCGAAACAGGAATCACAAACAATGAGCAAGTGAGGACTAAGGTAGTAGTAATGCGAATCGCACATCTAACAGACCAATACGCGGCGATAGGGCACCTACTCTTATTAGTTTAGCCATTGATATGGCCATCTAATTTCCCGACGCAGAGATGTTGCAAATCGCCCCCAGCAGTGAATGATCTACATTATGCATTGTCATGACAAAACCATATTCCGGGTGATCAATATCAAACAGGGATTCTTTGGCTCTGACAGCTGTTAGGCATCAGGGTTCCAGATGGACGTTTGTTTGTTTTGCAGAAGTGTTTTGCAGCAGCTTAAGCGGAAAGTGCTAAGGGCTCTAGCGATGGCCGAGCCTCTGAGAACTGGGTACCAGGCGAGGAAGCCCCTTCAATGGGCCCGGGTCCAGACGCTCCAAAACGATAGTGCCGGCTGGGTGGTTATGGGACGACAGGCCAGTGTTTCCCATGCCTGACAAACATTGCCCTGTGCACGCGACGGTGCCCAAAAAGCATGGCATGCGAGTGTTGGCCGTCTCGTCGGGTGCACACAATTTACAATGACATCAGACGGCAATGGGGGATCAGATGAGAGTGCATGCGTCGACGTGCATTATTAGCTGGAGCTTGCTGCAGCTTGACCACACACACAGCCAACAACAGATGACAGAAATTGCCGGTAGATGGATGGGGCCGAAAAGGCAGTCTTCCGGACGAGGCAGCCCGGAGAGGTGGGATTGCTGGCTCCTTCGAGCGACCGTTGAGAGTTGGACCAGGATGGGGGCCAGGATGGGACTTGGATTGGTGAGATAGAGGTGGGGATGGAGGGGTTCTGAGGGGGAAGCGGTTTCAGGGGCCGACGATACGACCCTCGGCACCTCTTGGCGCGCTGGGGGCCCAGCTGGGGTGTGGCAGCGCGCCTGGCGAGTGGTGAGCCTACAGTGCTGGGGGTGGCATGTTTCAGGCGGCACTAGCGAATGAGCGGGCAGGCAAGGGCGTGATGGCTGGGCTGTGATTGGCGAATCTGTCTCGGGACATCTTCAAGCTACTGCCTCTCCGGGCTTAGCGCATACAGTCGCGGCGCATCATTGCTTCGTCGCATTGCATCGCGACGGTGTGCGTGCTCTTCCTTGCACAGCCTAATCCATCACTCACCACCACTCCTCCCGTCACACTTTGCTTCTTTCTGCTCCGGATTTATGTATCGACATCACCTGATGGCCCTCGGGCGGATACGGGGCTCGCTCGTGTAAGTAAGAATCGGACCATGGACTTGGTTTTGCTTCTTCTTGAGCACGCCTCTACAGTATATTGATGGATGATGCCAATGGCGATGCATCTGGGACCTCTGCTGTTGCCACAAGCGCATGCTTTGCATTTATGCATAGACATTGCATTGCCATGTCTTGGATAGAAAAATTGAGCTGTGAGGAGATGCTGGCGGGTGATTGGCAGAGACGGCTAGAGGCTGGGTGTGTTCATAAATTTGAGATGGGGGCGCTCAATCTCAATCCTTGGTGACGGTGCCTTGGCCAGCGCGCGCGCCCTATGTGCCAGGACCCAACCCCAGGCTGGGCGAACCGTCCTAGGCACGCAGGTCATGATCACGTCAGTCAGGCCTAGGCTGTTGATTAGTACGAGACCAGCGCTCGACTGAGCTGGAGAGAAAGAAGCAGATGGATGTGATGTGAATATGTATTCCTGGCGCTAGCTCAACGAAATGGGCATAGACAGAGTTGCGGAGGAAGCTGTGCTCAGTCACAAGACTCCATGTTGCAGATACAGAACACGAAACAGGACAGGGTTGTCGTCGAGGGAGAGACACCGCACCGCATAAGGACGCGGAGTGGCTAGTCGCAGGTGATTCATGGGCGCTGTCACCCTCCGGCGCCAGAGCTAGTTGTCGACATTGTCCGTCGCAAGAAGAGCTACCATCAGCCAACTCGGGGCAGAAGTGTAATTATCAGTAATTAACCACTCGCGAGATGGCCACCAGATTCTGAGCGCCGGACGTACCGATGCCCTGAACATCGTCACAGCATGGATACTGGAGACAAGGTCGAAGCACCACCTGGAGGCGATGTCGCGAGTCGTTGGGCTAAGTGCCCAGTGGGCAGGCGGATAGCAGCTGTCCGCCCTCCAGGACCCTTGCGAATCGCTTCAGGTTTATCCACCCGAGCAAGGATGGCCACCTGGGTGGTAGCCGATATGGAGGCACTATTATACCTGTAGTACCTGTTGGGGGCGTGGTTGCCAGCGCGCGGATGCTGCAGCACGTACAGAAAAGTCGTACGAAGCACAGACGTACCTGAATCAGGTACCTGCGCCAGTAGTTCCGCCGCTGGCTGCCCGCAGACCGGGTTTCCTGGACGCCTAGGATGTGCGCTGAGCCTGTCACAACAGCTACCTACCTACCTACCTGAGAGTAGCTAGACCTGGCTCTTGCCCATGCTTGGACCGATGCACAACTGTAGGCAAGAGACAGCAAGACCCGCCACGGCTCCTTCTTCCCTTACGCCCCCCCCCTTTCCTGCCCCAAAGCCCCGTCCCACCTTGCGACCGCTGCCATGTCGCTCTGCCTGCTTTACATCTAACCACCTTCTGCACAGCCTGCTGCTGCGTTGCATCTTCCTTTCCTTCACGATCTTCCCCAGCTTGCGGCACCCGTCTGGCACGAGAAAGCGGCACGATCTGTTTCTTCTTTTCGCGGTTGCTTTCGTTGGTGTCTTTAATCCCGTAGATCGCCTGGCCCTTCGACAACCGACTCACTTACACCCGCTACTGCTACCGCGTGCCCTAGCGAATGTCTCGTCCGCCTCTTGCCAACCTCGAGGCACGTCGAACATTCTCTACGACCGAAACATTCTTCAGACGTTTCGAGCACACGCTTCACCACTCTGTTTTCTACAACGCGACACCTCACTCTCTTTTTGCTTCGCCTACCAACGTGATATATATCACCCACCGAGTCTAGTTACACGACGCTCTGCCAGCCATACCGTCGTGACTCTGCTTTCTTTCACCGGGTATCTAGTCCCCTTATAACCACAGATTCCCTGCTATACGAATCACGAAGTCGGTTGCATTCTTCATTCTACGCGTCGCCCTGAGGATCGACATTCAACAATCACTTTGGTCGACAGGAACAACCACATCTCAATCAATCTTCGAAAACCCAATTGCAACAAAAACAAAATTAAACACTAAAAAGCCGGCCTTTGAATAATTCCGCTGCAACAGTCGTCATGCGAGCTTGAACCACAACAGGACTCAGAAACAGCTTCATTGGTTTGCGACACCTGGAAAACAAGGGGTTTGAAGCTACCGACAACTGCAATGGGATTACCGGTGCCCCCTACGTCATTGGACGGCTCGTGTTCTGTCGTCTGGGGTGGCACACTTTATTCATATACGCCAAGTGCTTTCCTATCGTTGAAGCTGAGCGAGGGTGCGGAATGGCAGAAACTCGAAATTGGTGAAAGTGTGACTGGTGGTACCTGTGTGGGATCAACAGCCGATTCTGCAAACGCTGGGTTCTTTGTCATTGGTGGCACTGGTGGCACCACGGGTCTGATCAAGTACACATTTTCTACGGGAAAATGGACGGCCATCCACCCCGGAGACTCAGTCGTTAAGGATCGCCTGGGCCACAGTTCGGCGTACATCAAGTCAAAAGACTCGATCCTCGTTTTTGGTGGAGGAAAAGATGGGCAAGCCGGCCAGGAGACGTTTCTCATCAAGGCCTCTGAGCCCTATTCCGTCACAGGATTCCCTGCCAGTGCTCCCGCGGCATTGAAGCCAATCCTCCTGCCATGGGGTGATTCGAGCGCTTTCATGATCAGCGGCGACACCAACACCAACGTTTATCAGTTCAATCCAGATGCCCAAACATGGTCATACTCGGGATCAAGTCTGGCGGAGCCCGTCACCCCCCAAGTTAAGGGTGCGCTCGTCACGGGCACTGATGGATCAGAAAACCTCTTTCTGTTCGATCTTTCCCAAACGCCAAACAGGGTCTCGCGAGTTGTCATCAAGGATGCGAATGGCCAAGCTGTGCCGAGCTCCCCTTACATTTCAGCAAGGGATCTCGAGGACCTAACTATCAACGAGAAGAGAGACTCTGTTTGGCCAACCTATAACTCAACTCAAGCTCCGGATTACACCAGAGAAAACTACGCCATTGCCCAAGGTTCTGACGGGCAGGTCTACTTCACTGGCGGCAGTTCCAAGGAGCCTATCGCCATTTTCAACCCCATGCAGAATGGCTGGGTAGATGCCCAAGAGGTTCTTACTCCCGAGAAGGACACCAAGAGTGCTCCTACATCTACGTCAACCTCTGCATCTGCCACATCCAGTTCAGTTTCCTCTTCAGTCTCATCCACCGCAACTTCTTCCTCTTCCGTTTCTAGCACATTCACGACGGCGTTTTCAAGCACCGCATCGTCCAGCACCCAAGCTACAGGTGTCACCACCACGGGCGTTGTGTCCACAGATGCCACCTCTAATAAGCAAAACAAGAGTGACGAGGGCTTGAATTCAAACGTTGTCCTCGGCATTTCCCTAGGTTCCATCTTTGCGTTCCTGCTCTTGTTGGGTCTGATATTCTGCCTCCTTCGCCGACATAGAATGCGCCGCCACAAGGAAATGGCACAGGCTCGCGAGTTTGAGAATATGAGGAACGATGAGAAGGACCCTAATGCCTTCGGAAACGTATCGCCGTCTGCCCCACCTGGATATTTCCGTGGTCATCGAGCCAATGAGTCCCAGGACTCGTTCTCGTCAATGGCGATCCTGATGGGTCGTCTGAACAATAACGTGTCGTCTGGTCTGTCAAGAAAAGGAAGCAAGGGCAGCAATCGCTCCTCAGTTAGCTCTCTTCACAAGCAGCTGAAGAGCACTATCAGCAAACCTATTCCTCAAGTAAATGTTAACCCAATCATGTCGAGCTCACCGGCTCCTGCATATGGTCGCGCAGTAGGCCAGGAGCGGTCCCTGACTGGAGCTCAGCCCAGGGCGCCTGGAATGACACTCGCCGTACCGGAAGGTGAAGAAGAAATGAGGGGCAGTTCAGGCTGGGACCGGTACTGGTCCGGCGGCAGCGCTCTGCAGGTTCTTGGTTTTGGTCAGAAGCGAAGCACCGTTGTTTCTGAAAGCTCGCATTATTCCCAAAACTCGGGCCCTAACCCCAACCAGGCCTCGAGAGTAACACAAGACTCTGCTACCGTCCCCCCTCTAAACATCGAAGGCCGGGCTAGTTATGCTCGTGTGAATTCCGGGAACGTGATTGTCACGGGTAACTCTCACCAGATCCCCCTGCCCGGCGGACTCAGTGGTAAAATCGAAAGGCCGGTATCGAAAGCCTCGTCGGGGTACTCCAGCGGCGTGCCTGAAAGCGTCACTGAAGGTTGGGAGGCTGCGACAGGAAGCAAGCCATGGGGAACAGAGCGAGCCCCAAGCAGCGCTTATAACTCAACCTTTTCTCTCGGCGGAGCCATCGCACAACAAGAATACTCCAGTAGCCGACCACATCGATCTGGAGTAAGTACACAGCCACAACTGGCCATGGCCTCCAAGTCCTCTGACATGAGCTGGCTTAATATCGGTGCCCTTGATCCGTCACGAAAACAATAATATCCCCTTACAGAGATTCGTGGAACGACAGCAACGGACACCTCCCGCTACTGCGCTCACAAAGTCATTGCATCCTCTCGTTATTTTTGATTTAAATTAGATTTCTCGATCTGATATATTCACTCGCTAAATTTCCCCGTCATACTGTCTCGCTCTCTTTTCCTTTCAAAATTTCCGGTTACAAGACGTCCCAGCATCAGCGCTCCTCTGCCCCATGAGAGATGATTTCACACCCTACCTGGGTATTGTCACTCCGTCTCGACGTATATAGTTTCTGTACATTTCTTGGTACATATTTGTTCTGCTTAGAGAGCCCGGGTTTGGTTCTCGTTACATATTGTTCTTTTCCCTCTCTAGTATTCTCTTTGCGCTGGCTCAGCTTTACACGATACCACCATGCCCTGATGTAATTTTAGCAGGGATTTTTGGAGAGACGGGTTGTTCAGAGGAGGATGGCCGGGCATTGAAAGGAATCGTATCTTTAGTCAGAAAAAGCATGTTGCTGCGAAGGGAGCATAGGCAATCACCCATGATTGGCTCACCATCTAATCTCCTGCATCTGCAATAGCAACAGTAGGCTACTCAATAAACTATCTATAAATCATTTCTTGTCCTAAGTACCGCTCTAAGCAATTGGCTACTCAAAGCACATGATGTTTATCGTTTCCGCCGTTGAGGGCAGCGAGTCTTGGTTTCGAGAGAATGGAAGGAGGGACAGAACGGACTATCGAGTACCAAAGTCCACTCTATCGGTGCTTCCAAGACTCATTGTCCAATCTGAGCTGAATCATGAAAACCGCTCAGCTAGGTACATGTCGGTTCATTGACCCAACACAGGATGTACACTTTTGTATCCTTGACTCGCGAGTCAAAACAGTATTCCTTCAGTAAGATATCTGACGAGCATCCGCACTCATGGCGTTGCGCCCACCCGCGCGAGTTTCACTAACACTATAGGTATTAGTTTATCAAATAAGTGCAATCGCCTGCATTACCACTTGTAGCTCGTTCCATTGCAGATTTATTCTTAAACTCGAATCTACCACGGAAAGAGCTCTTGTCATGGCTGAGCTACTCTATTGGATATACAATTGTTGTGCTGAGCAGGCATGGCGTGTAACTGTGGTCAAGGTGATATATACATGCATGAATACTGTTCCTTTACCATTGACCCTGAAAAAGAGTATATGTCTTTTTTGAATGATAGTAACCATGGAAACAAACCCACATCTCAGCTAAAACATTGAGTCGGAAGGTGAGAGGTATTCTTGACAACAGCGCAATACAAGCGTTCCACTGAGAAACATTGCAATTTTCTTACTATAACTCGAGCCCAGCGCCTTGGACTACTCGGCTAAGTTGCCTGGCTTGATGAAAGGTGCAGCAATTTTACTAAGTAGGTGCCCTGGTGATGCTACTCGATAAACATTACCTCAAGTGTGTTGGTGACTCGTTGCAAATGCAAGCCACACGATGCTAAGTCAGGTTTCGTGTGACCTTGGAGAATATGAGATACCTAAGAGCTCTAGGTGCAACTGATATGAAACATGGTACACCCAGAACCTCCAGCATTGAATTTCGGGATAATGTTAAACATAATGTTGAGCTAAATATCGTAGAATATTTATTTGTTTCTTGATACCGTATTTAGTATTATTAGTAACTAAATTAGTAAGTGAGAGAGCTATGCAGTTATGCGGCAGCTGCTGAAAAAAAAAGGGGGAAATTCCAAACACCAAGAATTTAGCAACTTGACACCATACCCAGTATCACAACACATTAAACTTCAGCCTTTTTGCCCGGCTACGAGGCTTGTGCCCGGCCGTCAAATTAGGTCTCTACCTTATGTGAAAAGGGCTTTAGTGTGCCATGTTTTATTTCAGCCACTTGGGTATGGATACGTCATTGATATTGATATCACGACGCATGATGGGAAGTGGATTGTCCAAATATCATCACATGCCAACCACACCGGCTGTCGGGAAATCCAGGGTAAGGTGATGACCAGCCAGGCGAGATGCTAGTTTGTCCTAGGCTGTGGAACGGCTTCTGGATTATCCCACGCCTGGTATGGTCAGGTTATGATTTATAACCCCTCAAAGTATTTTTACTCGGATTGATCCTCGGAGCCAATAACCCTAACCTACCTATACTCTCACGAGCCGAAACGGCGGCCCGGCCGACGTTGAACCTGGTTTCGCGGCACCAAGACGGAAGCTCATCATGACACTCACGGGAGTTACGTAAGGCAGGCACTGTTGTGACGTGAGTTTGCTCTGCATATGCGTTGCGTGTCATGCGTCCTTCTGGAAGCCTGCAGGGTTGGACCAGCTGGAGTGTCCACGCCCTTTGATTGGTTGGGTGTTCATTGGGCATTCCGCCTCCTGGTTCTGCGTGATGGGTTGTGCAGTAGAATGCATATAATATGTGGGCGGCACAAGACGTACCTGGATATTATTGTACCGGTGCTAAAATGATCAGCAAGAGAGCATAAAGGCACCTTGCCAGATGTGTGCCGTGACGAGGGCGGCAAGCAACAGCTTGGCTTTATTCTGCGGTCCCGTGTATGCAAGGACCGAGATCGCTCACCTGATTCGATTTGGCTGCAGGAAAGCAGGGGACCGGCCTGTACAGTGCCTAAGTCGGTATTCCGGTGGCTCTGGTGTACGTACCGAACGGCATGCTACAGGTCAACGAGCCGACAAGAGGAGGGCGGCTACAAGGGAGGATGCCGGCAGCAGTCGGCTTGTCGGTGTGTCCCGAAGAAGAGAGCTTCTGGATTCAGTGTTGTCTTCGAATAATGCGGGCCCCAAAATCGATAGATGTGATATGGTGGGATGCCGGAGGGTGGGATGAGGGAATCAAGCCACCACAGCCAGAAACAGAATCACCTGCAGGAGATGCGGTTCTGTATTGAATCTTGGCAGCTGGGGGACCCTGTGGGTGGTTGGAAAATGCAATAAGAACGGCTTCGATGACAGGGTCCCGCTGCGCAATTTCTTGTTGCCATTGGACCTTGGCATGGGAAAGGGACTGTGAGGGATAGAAGAACCATGGAAAATGGAGAGGCTTCCATGAGGATACATGCTTGTGTTACTCGACCGACCAACGAACAGACGACCAATCCTGAAGCCGATGTCGAAGGGATAGGGATACGACATGCTCACGAGCACGGCTTCCCAGTCGGACAGGATCTAATAACGGCTCTGGACGACGTATTGTCACACACCTACCCGGAATACATTTGGTGAACTGGCGTACCCACAGAGAATAGCGAGCTCCATCGCTGGCCAAAGCCCGCCAGGGCCCTCTTTCGAATAGAGCGACTAAGACTAGTTTGCCGCTCAGAACCAAGCACACGGATCCATTGTACCTGTTATTATACCTCGATGGGGTCAGCAGTCATGACGGGGCCTCTGAGTCAGTAGGGGCATAGCCTTGGTGTTTCGATGTGTGCCTGAGGATTCTTGATTCATCAACTCGGGGACAAGGAGAAGCCGAACGCGACGATGGCGGTGTTCCCGCCCCTGGTGCCGTTGTTGGGGAGGCACATGCATGTGCAGGCCTCGTACACCAGCTGAAGCTGCTCCCGCCTGCCTAACTCGGGAGATATTGGCTGGTGGTGGTGGTGATGATGCACACTTTGTACATATCGTATGCGCCTCCTACCCCAGCAGAACTGGGGAACCAGCCAACAGCGACACATCTCATTTAATTAACTCGCCCGGCTGCACTGGGGACGGCTGGGTGAATCCCACGGCGATCCAGGTGCTGCAGGATCCAACGATCTACAGCAATAGTTTAGTTCTCATCGTAGCAGTTCGAGGTCCGACATAGGTGGCGTATGTTTGGCTAATGTTGAAAGAGTGCTAGACACGATTTGCGAGCGGCGTTCGTCCGATTCTTACCTACTTGTTGGCCAGTTCCCTTAGACAAGACAGGCCTCGACGGACAACCTGCTCAAGCTAAATGATGCCTGGGTCCCTCCCCACCCTCCAAGTCGAGATTGGGGCCACGGTGAGTGATATAACGGGCAACCAACAAAATAAATATCTATGACGGACATGGAACAAGCAAAGTAGAACCACTCTGGTGGCATCATGCCCTCACCTATGGGATGATTAGGATTACGTATATGCCAGGAACAAGACAAACGTAAACTGAGATCCTGATGAGACGCATTGGTAGAATCCATAGTTCCTGCCCGCCGCGAAGGCTTCCCTTTCCGCAACTAGCGCCGTCCGTGCTCCTCCTCCAACTCGCGACTAGGGGAAGCCGTCGAAGATAATCTGTGAAGAAAAAAGTTTGCCGCCGAATGCCGGGTTCCAGCTAAGACTCCAGACTAGCGAGCCCAGGTCGCGTTGCCAGCCTCTAAGAAATTCTGGCTAGTGGGGAGAAGCTCGCAGTTCCTCGGAGTTTCGACTAAAGCAAGCGTATGGTCAGTTAATGCGGCGCCGGAGCCTCAAGATCTTTTGGTATGAACATTTGCGGTGTCTATGGAGACAGAACAAAACCTCAGCCTGCCCTGGAAACCCAGTACGTAATTGCTTCTGGCAGCCGCTAATTGTTGGCTGACATAGTCATTCGGGCGCCTGGTTTCGGTCCCAGAGAGTCATGTCCAGGGTTTTCAAGCTGGTGGTTGCACCCATGCCAGATCCCTCGCTTCGCTTCCTCCATCCATCTGGACCCCCACTCTCTCTAGGTTAGTTGCAGACCACGGCCCCCCCCCACCCGAGAGCGAGAGGGATGTTCAGCCTGTCGCACTGACGAACTGCTGAATCAGACGTAGCGCTTTCAATCTGCAAAGAGCGAACGGCACCTTCCAGCATCTTGATCAGTAGCAGCACTGTTACTGCTAAGGTGCGGCCTGTGCCCTCCTCGGCTGGGAGCTTGCTGTGGTTGGGCAACCGAACTCTCTGACCTAAAACGAACGGCCCGTTCAAGTATTCGTAGCCTTTTTCTCACTCTTGGAGAGCTCTTACGACGGCCCCACCACCAAATCGGCAAACCCCTTCAGTGAGAGAGAAATGTAATCCAGTAATATTTGGCAGGCCCCAGTGCTAAATGTGCCTAGTAGCTCGAGAGAGCACCAGTGTAGCAAGGCCATCCTTCCTTCTCGCTGGACCAGACTTGCGCTTTCTCCCCTCACATATTCCCATTCTGTGATGAGCATCGTCTCAGCTAAGCAAGCTTGGTTTGTTGCTTTCTTTTTCTTCATTGTGGCGCTCCTGTTCGTCCAGTGATCTGTCTCGCCGATACACACCAACCCCAGCCGAGGCCACCCACTGTAGAGGCCCGTGATTTGGTTCACTAATTCCGCCAGTCGTATTCAGCGTTTGGCTTTCGCTCGACAAGATCACCCGAGTCGACGCCCCCTCCTTCGCAAACTCGCGACACGAACTCAGACTCGGCCACGACAGCCGCGGTGAAGCGCCTTGACGGCGAGGGACAACATTTTTATCGCCTTGTCGAGTCTACCTATGCTGTGCAGCGCACGCTCGGCCCAACTTGCGCACGCCCGACAGGCTCCGACGCCAGGCTTTCGCCCACCACCTTTCATAAGGGCCTTGCCTACCTAGTCAATCTTGCCGAGCCGCTCCGTTTCAACATCACCCACCCCTCATTGCGAGCACATACGATGGCATCAGCCACCTGGGATGGTCATGATCATCACATGGCCGCCGGTCCCGATGATGACTTCCAACATTTTCTCGACATGTCCACCATTGGCGATGGCATGCAGTTCGACTTCAACGGCTTCCCAGATGGCGCCGAGGCACAGGCGATGATGAATCGCCAACGGAATCCTCCTGATGCCATCATGAACGATGCCGGCGCTTCGTCCATGATGCCACAGGGAGCCGGAATGATGCATGGCCAACCCGCTCAAATCAACCCGTCTGGCCCTCCGCACACTTCTGCCGCCGCGCAGATGATCCCAACGACTGCGCCGGCCTCGGACTCCATCTCCAGTATCGACGCCCAGATCCAGTACCTGCAGCAGCAGAAGTTCCAGCAACAGCAACGACAGATCCAAGAGCAGCGAAACGCTTTCTTTGCGAGCCAGAACCATTCTGTCCCACCGACCCCTCAGAGCATTGAGATGCCTCCCGGGAGCGGTAACTTTTACACACAAGAGCAAATGTCGCATGAGGTGTATGATGGGGGCTATCATCAGCAGCAACGAATGAAGGAGCGACAAGATGTGAGTTCCTTCTTTCCCCCTCCGAATGTCCCAAATATGTACCCCCTCGCAACGACAATGCGACCGTATTCTGTTGTTTGTGTGGCCTCGTGCTGATGTCGATGTGTACTACCTTAGATGGCATTTACGCCGCTTGTATCACCGGCCGTCACCCCGCTGGAAACACACTACATGGAGAACAACTTCACCGCGTACTTTAGCCCTCTGACATCACCAGCCCTGCACGCCCAAAACGACTCCTCGTCTATCTACGACCCCAGCACCCAGTCGAATAACTCTCCCATTGAGATGGACCTCGAGATGTCACAGGCCCCCGCTGTAGTACCCATGGAACTGTCCAAGAAAGCAAGGGAAAACAATGCCGCCAAGACGAGGAGTAGGGCTGGGGGGGTTAGAAACTCGCCCATCTCGAAACCACTGCGGCGCAAGACCGGCCCTAGCCCGGCCATCGTATCGCAAGTTCTCAGTGAAGTGGATGAACGGAGCCAACTAAATAAAATGGAACCTATGTTGCCGCTCCCAGTGAGCTCAGCCGAAATGTCGGAAGAGAATGCCTCAGTGTCCCCCGAGAACCTCACGGAGATGCCCCCTCCTCCAGTCCCAACAAGGCGATCCATGAGTAAATCACCATACATCCAGGCTCAAAATGGCAGCGCCCCGACCTCGGCACCATCCAGCACGACAACGGTTCCTGCACCGCGGTCCTCTGTTACCAACTCTCCCCAAGCTGGAGCAGACCAACCCCATCCAGCTACACCTGCTTCGCTCATGAGACTTGCCGGATCCAAGGCCAAGAAGGGATCGTCTCACCTCAATGAGCAGGTACATACTGACAACATCGAGACCCTGGAGTTGCCCGAGTCGGTTGCCAAGAAGCAGTTCCCAACCATCAACACCGAGGCAGCAGCCAAGGATGCACCGTATCCTGACCCGGGCTCTGCTAACCGCTCTTCCTTCCAGCCACTCCCTTCTCCAGTCTTCACACGCCCCGGTACCACATCTGCGAACCAGAGTCCTCTGATCGGGCCAGGATCAACTGGACCAGCTCCTCGAAAGACCCCGCAACTTGCTCCTCGGGCCAGCAGGAAACGATCGACCAGTTCAGTCCACGTCTCTCCCGCCCTATTGCCAAGAATATCACCCAACATCAAACCGTTATTACCTGGAACTCCCGGCGAATCGGCCGAGGATACTGCCTCACGCCTGCTCATGTCTAAATCGAACTACCAGAACATCTTGGAAGGAAACACGGTTCCTGGCGTTTCATACCCAAGCGAACTTTCAACGAACCTGACGTCAAAGCGCACATCACACAAGATCGCCGAGCAAGGTCGCAGAAATCGTATCAACTCGGCCCTTCAGATCATGGCAGGCCTCCTACCTGATCAGAAGGGATGTTCTGGAGAAGACAGTGACAAGAAAGACAGCAAACAGGCCAACGCCGCCAACAGCAAAGCTAGTGTGGTCGAGAAGGCTATTGTACATATGCAGAACTTGAGCAAGGAAAACGTGGATCTGAAGGAGGAACTCCAGGATCTGAGAACCCAGCTCGAGAAGCTAAAAGCCAAGCAATGAGGCTCATGTCTACGGTGGCAATATCGATACCCGGGGAAGATCACCATGTGTTCGCCCCTTTTGACGAAATTTTTGACCGAGGGGTAATGTGGAATAGACGATGGAAAAGACAATATGGGATTAATCAGGGAATATCTTACAATTGCATAGGGGCGTGGTATACGAGGTGATTGGATCTAATGATCGACATGAGCTGGGTGGCTTATTCTGGTTTAATTTACTGGTTTCTTGGGTACTGTCATTTTTATCCTTTTGGGCTGGCTCTTTTTTTCTGTACCGACTTCTTTTTACCCCTTGAAAGATTAGCATATTAGCGAGAAGGTCTGGTCCAAGCTTGGTATTGTTGGATCGTGGCATTCTTAGCTTCGTTCCTGGCATTGAACCATGTTTTGGATGTTTTGGATGCACCTGTTGTATAAGAGAACTCTACAAATGCATATCACATCGATATTGTTGTGTCATAACACGCCGTGTCGTGCATTAGCCTGCAGCATACGAACATGTGAGATCATACGAGCATGTATGTGAGATCGACCAGCATGGCCTCTGTGTTGTGCATATATACGCCGGTGGTGTGTGCAGAACGGGCCGCATCAGGACGGGCCAGCTCATGGAGGCTGGCAATGTTGACGCTAGCAAAGTTCAAGTCAATCGTGGAGGAGTATTCTTCTTCAGAATCGGATCGCGAATATATCATTGGCCCGCGTGGAGTCAGGTAAGTCATATTATAACTGCGAAGTAACTAAAACCTAGGCGCGCCGGATCTCCAACCTGGAAATTCTACTGGGGGATTTCAACATACATCATCCTGTATAGGGAGGCGGCAGTATAGAGAGCTGGCGTAACTCCTCGGCACTCTTCTCTACAGCGGGCAGGTTGTCGCCTCCCCCATGTGAGATGATGTAAGGTAAAATCTCCCCAGAAGGATGTCCAGGTCGAAGATTCGGCGAGCCTTTGTTTTAATTACTCCCCAGCTCTTCCTCATCAATCATTATTCTTAAGTCATTCCTTTTCTCGTTTTAACTGTTCCAATATGTATTATGTTTCAACTGGGCGGCTTTTGCAGCTTCTGCTGCTCTAGGACATCGACGTCGAGGTGCTCCATGACCTCAAGCACGAGCTTGAGGCTCTCCATGAACGAGTTGACGGCGACGCGGAGCATGCGGTTCGTGGCTGCTTCGTACTCCGTCTTGAGTAGCCGGCCTTCGCCGCTGTCGTCGGAAGGGGTGATGACGGAGAGGTGCCGGCGCACGAGCGGGGAGAGCTCCTTGTCGACCTGGAGGGTCCTGAGGGCCGTGGAGGCGAGGCGCTCGCTGGGGAAGGGGACGTTGATGGTTCTGTACTCGGGGGGAAGGTCAAAGGGTTAGTTTCTTCTGGTTCTGTGTGTCTTCTCTCGCTCATTGTGTTTGTTTGTTTATCGAGTATATATGCACTTTCTTCGTCTTCTTCTTGGGGCTGTCGTAGAGGGCAGAGAGGATGGGGAGGGGATAAGGGAGGGGGTGCGGCAGTGGATGTGCGATGTTGTCACCGTGAGGGAGGCGATTACGGGGGGCCAGTTGATACAGGAAAGGGAGGGGTAGACTTGCATCGAACAGGGGAACTCGGGGTCTGCCGTGGCGGCCATGGTCGCGGCCTGGGTTGGTTGGCTGAGACTTGCCCTGTGAGGAGGCCGAGGGCTCAGGGATGTGCAGTAGGGAGAGCAGAGCTTCCTGAGCCAACGGAATGGAGCTAGAGGTTGTGTTTGAGGATGAGATTGTTACGGGGCGGGAAAGGACAGAAGAAGTGTTTCGCCTGCGTTGGGTTTCGTAGGCTGGCCAGATTCGAGAGTCGAGGCGGGGTTTTGGGTTGCTTTGGTGCCGGCTGTGGCTGGTGATGTTGTGCGCGCCACAATGAACGTTCCCTTGCTTTACAGTTGGCAGCTAGCGGCTGTAAGGAGTTTGGCTCACTGCAGCTAGGTTATCGGTCTAGGGTCTGTAGGGGATTGGTTGGTGGACAGGAGGCCGCTGAAGGGGCCGCTGGGGTGGCTTGCACCAGGCCGTTACCCGTTGCAGCGGACAAGGGGCTCGAGATGGGCTCTAGCCATGCGGTTGCCATGGTGATGGGCCGGGATGGGGGCCAGCTCCTGCACTGTTATGGAAACTGGGGTTGTTCCAGCGATGCTGGCAAAAACACATAACAAGCGAACCCCATACAAAAACATCATGGCCCCATTCCTGCAGTGATTGACGTCTCAACAACAACGCTCGCCTTCCTCCAACTCCTCAAGGCATCATCTCTTCTTCTTTTTTAGTTGAGGCGAATGCCGTTTTCTTCATCCTAACTCTTCTTCTCCTTCTTCCCTATCCAGCATCCTCTTCCATCCTCTTCCGCACTGGCATCAATTACCTGGAGTAGCTTCACCGAGACCTTTTGTGCTTAACCTTTACCGATCCAACCTTCCATCCTATCCTCATCCTGCGATCTTTCATCCAAACAATTGCCCGTGCGATTGCTTCGAGAGCAACTGCCTACTGGTTTCAGCTGCCTCCCTTTGCACAAGGAGCAGTCGAGCTGTGTAGCCTCTTGCCTCGCCGACCGTGGTGTATGCACGCATCATCAAAACCAGCTCACGAGACCAATCCACGCAAGAGCTAGAAGCTATGGCTCCTACCTCGAGACAGCCTCGAAACATGGGACAGGTTGTTGAGTACATTCCAGGTCAGTTTTTCATTCCCTCACCGCCTCGTCATGCATCCCGTCTCTCGTCGTCGAATGCGGTCTACGAGGGAGCCCAGCGTGAATATCGGGGAACAGACCTGAGCAGCAATGCGATGGTCGACTTCTTGCGACATGCATCCTTACTCGCTGATGACTCCCGATGTTCCCACGAGGCCTTCGCCAACTGCCCGGCGACTGCGCCTGTCCCCGACATCATTGCTGACCTATGTGCCAGACCGCTTGTACTTGGCCGCTTACGTTCACCCTCCTACCGCTGAGACACCCTTCCCATATCCCGAGGCACCGGCTTCTCCCAGGAAGCGTGGACAGTCTGCTGCCACACCATCTCCCAGCACCGGAAAGACGCCTTGCTACTTCACCGTCGACGACGCTCTCCTCTACAATGCTTTCCACCACGACTTTGGCCCGCTGCACATTGGCCACCTCTACCGATTTGCTATTCACTTCCACGACATCCTTGGTGCGAAGGAAAACAAGGACCGCCCCATTGTTTTCTGGAGTGCCGCCGATCCAAGAAGTATGTTTCATTGTCCTATTTTTCTTCTCCGCTTCCTCGTTGCCATCTCGCCAGTGGCTTGGCAAGGGGTGAGTTGAGCTCAGCCTGCTAACCGATATTTTCCAGGCCGTGCAAATGCCGCATGCATGCTAGCATGCTACATGGTTCTCATCCAGAACTGGCCCCCTCACCTGGCATTGGCCCCCATTGCTCAAGTTGACCCTCCTCTGATGCCGTTCCGAGATGCTGGATACAGCCAGGCCGATTACGGCATCACTGTTCAGGATATTGTTTACGGAGTTTGGAAGGCCAAGGAAGAAAAGTGCTGCGACCTCGACAACTTTGATCTCGACATGTATGAAAAGTACGAGCGTGTGGAGCATGGTGACTTCAACTGGATCACTCCTCACTTCCTTGCTTTTGCTTCACCCCAAGACACTCCCGTTGCGAAGATCACAGAAGAGTCGGAGCTCTTTCCATTGCTCCCAAAGACCCTCCAGGACGTTTCCGATCATCCCACACTATCCCAACCCTTCAAGAATGTCCTCAGCCATTTCAAGGAGAAGAACATTGGGCTTGTTGTTCGCTTGAACTCTCACCTCTACTCCCCTTCATACTTTGAGTCGCTGGGCATCCAACACATCGATATGATCTTTGATGATGGAACCTGCCCTCCACTGACGACCGTGCGAAAGTTCATCCGTCTGGCTCATGAGACCATTACCGTCAAGAAGAAGGGTATTGCGGTTCACTGTAAGGCTGGTCTTGGCCGCACAGGCTGCCTGATTGGGGCCTACCTCATCTACCGCCACGGCTTTACTGCCAACGAGGTCATGTCCTTCATGCGCTTCATGCGCCCAGGCATGGTTGTAGGACCCCAGCAGCACTGGTTGCATCTTAACCAGGGAACCTTCCGTGAGTGGTGGATTGAGGAGAAGATTGAGCGAAAGCTGAGGAAGGAGATGATGGCAAACAACCAGATGCCCAGCACCCCGATCCGTGCCATGCAAAAGTCTTCATTGCGCCAGCAAACCACAACACCCCCTCACCGAAGCCCCTCGAGCCGTACACCTCTCAGCGAGGTTGACCAGGATCGCAACAACAGCCAGGAGGACTACCTGCCCGCCCCTACCCCCGGGCAGCCACGAAAGGCCGCACGTGCTGCCGACCGACACCACCCCTACCAGCGCTCAACTTCTCAAAGCATCGTCTTGGATGAACAAGCCGAGATCGAAAAAGAGACAGACATCGTCGCTATCCAGCAAACCTCCGAGTCTGAGGAAGAGTTGCACCTTCGCATGCGAAGTCACCGCAAGGTGTCTCAGTCCCCATCTCGAAGCACCAAGGTGCGGTCAGTCAGCCAGACAACTGTCTATGTCATTGACAATGATGCATCGCAGGATGCCGAGAACATTGGCTCTGTTCGTGCCAAGCCTATCGATCGAGTCGTTAGCACCCCTAGCACGATGACCAAGGTGCGAGGCAGCAGACGCCAAGCTGAGTCTCCCCTCCGTTCGAGAGACTCTGCCGGTATTCGCAAGACGAGTGGACGCATTGGAAGCACTGGCACCGCCATCACGGCCGCGGCAACCCGCAAGGTCTCCTCCAGCTCTTAGGTGAGCTCTGGTCGAGCTGGCATTGGGTTGTTTCGCAGCCGAGGCAGTGTAGTGCAACCTGTTTGCCGGCCGCCACCATCATGATCATGATTCACACGCATGTTCTCACGAATGACTCATGTTCTCATTGCATGCATGAAAGGCGTTATAGGCTGGTTTGATCGAGGCGATCTCCTTCTCCTGTGTCCAAAGCCTCTTGTGGTCCAGCCTCTTCCCACTTTACTTCTTCCACGATGGCGACTAGACACCAAAGGGTTTATTCACTTTTGGCTTATCGAACATACATATATAATTCACGCACCTATAGACAACGGTGGCGATGGTCGGCCGGGTGGAGAGAAGGCTGGACACTTTTGACAGCGGGCGTTTGCAGCACATGGAGCAGGTGGGAGAGTGCCGCGATAACTGACGGCGTCCCGGCGAATTCCTGGATTGAGAGACCATCATCCCGTAATATGCATCAAGTCCATTGGTTTCTTGTCATATCTTTTTTGGCACAACTGGATTTATCTCAAAAGGACTGGGAGTAGAGGGTTCTGTATATTCTTATCGCTCCGTCTCAGAATTGTCTCTCTTATGGGAGTTTTCAAGGTTTATTATAGGCGCAGGGAAATGGTTATTTTTGTATTTTTGATTTTGGGAATAAATTTTCAGCATCAGTTTAACCACACATGGCTCCTCATTATTGCGGCGACTCCCTGATGATTTATGTTGTGTGTATATCCAAGAAATTAAGGCGACGCTTCCTTTCGCTCCAATTTAGTTGGTGAGTATTGTTGCCCACCCGTTCGTCTCCCCTATTAGCCCCCTTCCCCCAGAATGAGGGTTGAATCAGTCGATGCTATCTATAGCCGGATACTTTCTAACTTGGCCACGACAGACTCCATCAGCTTCCCAGCCTCACTACTCGTCATGCCCTCGTCAGCCCCGAGGCACATCTCCACGACCTCCTTGTACCTCTTGCCCACCTTGCTCCCCAAGCCCGGCACAAGGACGGGCAGGACCACCTTGTCGCGCCAGCGCTCGGGGGAGTAGTGCGGCCTGTGGTAGGACTGGAGGCACTTCCACAGGCCGATCTCGAGGAGGAGCAGGCCGAGGCTGTAGACGTCGAAGGCCTTGCAGTAGGGGAGCCCTCGGAGGGAGGAAGGGTGGCGGTGGAGGTTTGCGGCGGGGGAGGGGGCCCTCCTGGGCGCGAGGGAGAGGGCCGGGTCGAGGTCCGGGCGGGAGGCGTCGAATCCCACCAGAAACGGTCTCGAGATGTCCGGGACGAGAGCTGCGGTCGCGGTGGGGGAGACGGCGGAGGCGGAGAAGGCGGAGGGGAAGAAGAGGATGTTGTCGGAGCGGAGGGACTTGTGCAGCCAGTCGAGGGAGTGGAGGGACCAGAGGGCGACGGCGAGGGAGGAGGCGAGGCGGACGCGGTCGTCGAGATCCGGGGTCTTGAGGTCCGGGCTGGAGATGAGGGTGTGCAGGTGGGAGTGGGAGGGGGCCGGGGCCTTGTAGACGAGGCCGTAGCGGCTGCGGTCGGCGTCGTCGGTGTAGCCGAGGCAGTCGACGCTCTGGAGGTCCGGGTGGCAGGAGGAGGCGGAGTGCATCATGCGGGCGAGGTCGTCCATGCGGCGGAGGTGGGCGAGGCGCTCGTCGAGGGCGTCCTTGTCGTAGTCGACCCACTCGATGACGACGTCGCCGGCGGTCTCGTGCTGGGCCTGGAAGCGTTGGGGGCCGACGGTCTGGTCGGCCTTGTCGTCCTTTGGTTGCTCGGGGAAGCTTAGGGCTGGACGGGGGACCTTGAGGCGGTAGGTGGGCTTGAAGGATGATTGCGGTTTGGTGTCGAGGTTGATGCGTAGCTTCTTGAGGTTGGCCGAGTTGGTGAGGTGTGGGTAGATGCCGCTCGAGGCGTTCTCGAGGAGGGAGAGCTTGTTGAGGTCACGCTGGGCGGTTTCCAGCAGCTGGTGAGTCCATGCTCGTTGGAAAGACTGCACTTGGGATGGGGGGAAGAGACGCTCTAACCCATCGTTGAAGTCTGATGAGAGATGAACTCAGTCAACTTACATTCGAGACGACGACTATGATATCTTTCTCTGCCTACCTTTGAGATCATTGAGGAGAGTGATGAACTTGCTTTTGTCTAGTGAGAGAGATTTGGGGACAACTTATCAGACAACTGATACCAATATCATAAAAAGGGGGTGGTCGTTCGTTGGACCAAGGAACGAGGATGGACTCACCACCTATCACCCATTTAGACCTCAATGTGAGCTCCCGTCTCCAGCTCTTTTCGCTTTTCAGCGGGTTTGCACTCTCGTCCTTGGGCGAGGGCCTAGCATCCCCCTTGGACTTCATCTTCCCCTGCTCCCCAGGCTCGTCGATGAGCCCGTACGTCTCCTTGAGCTTCTTGAAGTCCGTCACCGTGCCGTGCAGCTCCTCGAGGATCTGCTTGGCCAGCGCCCTCAGCTGCGGGTTGCTCCCCTCGCTCCGGTCCAGATGGGCCTCGAAGTTGCCCTCGACCACCCCCCACTCGCGGCCCCAGACGACGAGGCGCATCTCCTCGATGCGCACCTTGCACAGCAGCTTCTGGCTGTCGCCGTCCATGTGCGTCGCCTCCGTGAAGTACCCGTACGCCTTGACGCAGCCGTGGAAGAGCTGGCCGAGGAAGCCCACGACGCCGACCGTCGTGCCGATTATCTCGGCCATGTTTTGGCTGGTTTCCCCCTTTCTTTCCTTTGCTTTGCCCCCTTTTCCCCTCCTCCGATTCTCCTCCTAAAGGGTCTTCTTTCAACGCCGAGAGTTCAAGAATGCTCAGATCCCTTTTATAGTAGGCGAGAGAAGACTAAATCATGGGCCACTGCAACGTCTGCCACACGGAGAGCCAGTCGGCGGGACGATTTCCCTCTATTCACACAACGGCCGTCTTCTTGAGGGACCCCGCAGCACTGTAACAGCTGTGGGTGAGCGCGTGTGGTGTGAAGAGTCCATTCACTCTGGGGGGATGGATCATACCTCCCGAAGCGGTGTAATTAAAACTCAACAAGTATGCCTGAGAATAGAAGAAGTGGCCAAGAGTCTCCGGTTGGGCCTTTCTGTGGCAAGTCAGCCAATCCACTGACAAACAACGATCTTGCTGCTTCCACCAGCTGCTAAGTTGAGGGGAGAAGCCCCACAAATCAGTTCCGTATAGTGACCGGTGTTGTTGTGTTATAAAGCGCCAATCACAAATATCTGAGAGCTAATACTCTGTCAACTACAATTGACATCATTTGATATTGCCATATCAAATCGACCTATTATATGAAATGCTCTACTCTTAGGTGCTATTCAATTTGATGTCTCATCCCGTCTGTCACCCAGCTGACACCGAATCAGCCTAAACATCCAAGTCACCATGCCTATGAGTTCAAGACTATCAATCAGGGAAATGCGTCGAAAAGTCAGTGGGATGCTGTCATTGGAATAGTCTGTCACCATATCCTTCCCCAAATGTCCCGTCACGTATTATCAGCGGTCATGTTGTGTTGAAGTGAGAAAAAAAAATAAGTAAATAAGAAGAAAAAATAAATAAGGTTATCCATTCCCTAGAGCTATCCCCCCTGGAATCGCTATAATGTGTAGAAAAGGTCTAAATCAACTCCAATTTTGCAAAGACTAAAGTCTGGTCGTTTTACCCACACAGAAATCCCGCGAAAAGATCCATACTCCAAAAAAAAGGTCAAGGTAAGATCTCGGAACCATCATCGACGTCCATACTGGGGAATCACCGGTCCCCAAATCATGTGGCTGTCATGTCGTTTACAAAGAAGGGTCTTAGTAGACCTTCTTCTTCTCGTCAATGCTGAACTGGCCAGGGCCGCTGTTGACCAGCAGGAGAAGGCCACCAACAATGGAGAGAACCTGGAAGAAATCGTACTTGGCGAAATCCTTGTGGGGGTGCTTCTCGTGGAGCTATAAAAGAGAAATGGTTAGTCATTACCTTATTATTCACCTTCGCCAATGCTCGTTGGAAATAAACTTACAGTCCAGAAGTTGTTGACCAGCAAGTTGAAGATGCTGAGGATGACAACGAGAAGAGTGGCGCTGAACTTGGCCTTGAAACCAACAACGACCATGATGCAGGCACCAGCACCAATGATGGAGACCAGGACACGGCCGATAGTCCACTGGCCGCTGAAGACGAAACCGACGAAGAGGAAGATGAGGAGGACACGTCCAGCGAGCTGGAAGTACATCTTCCTGTCCTTCTCATCGATCGAGGGGAGACCGGCGAAAGCCTTGGTCTTGCGCACCCACGAGTCAGACAGGACCATCAGGAGACCACCAATGACTGAAAGGTTTCGGAGGAAGAAGTTCAAGTCGAAGATGAGACCGTATCCAAGGGCCTGGGTGACGACGACGCCCATCAAACCGGCCACGGCATAATCGGAGTGCTTCTTGATGATGACGAGAATGGAGCAGGAGGCCATGACGGTCATGTTTCCAATAAGGAAGAGATGTGTAATTCCAGAGGGAACTATAATTCATCATTGGTCAGTCTCCGCGCACTGCTTGGTATGATCGCGTCAAACCGGCTTCTGGGGCTCGGAAGGATATCTTACTGTGCCGGTATTCGTTAAGGTAGGTGAGCTGGTCAGTCCATTGGGTGATGATACGGAGAGTATCCTCGAGGAAGGTCACGACAATCAAGAAGCGACCAATGGCAGGAAGGTAACTATATCAGACTCATCGTCAATTCGTTGTCCACAAGTGCGCGGGGGTCCATCAATTGGGCCGACTCACGGCTTCACGGGCTCGCTAACTGTGTCGAGGAAGTCCTCCACCTTGCTCGTGTATGGCCGGAGCTGGTCGAGGAAGCTTCCAGCGGGCTCCTGGCTGGGAGCGGCTCCGTACGAGGGAGGTCCGGATTGGAAGCCATAGCTTGCGGGGCCACGTTGCGACATGGTTGTGTGGTGTTGATGTGTTGTTTAGACGAAAGTAGGTACGTGTACGTATGTTCTGTGTGAATTCCCAACCTGCGGGATTGCGATTGGGTCGTATTGACGAATCTGAGAAGGCTGTGGCAGCTGCTTCAGGCCGGCCTGATTGTGTTCCGGGTTGCACGGTGGCGCGGGACGACGGGCGGCGATCAACGAGGGCGCTTCAACTGGGGGGTTACTTGCTGGCAAGTCGAATGAGCAAGGTAGAAAGAAGAGGAAGAAAAGAAGAGAAATAGAGCTTCGAACGGCGCTCGGGGGGGACGAGAGGGGGTTCTTGAGCAGAAATGGAGGTCGGGTTCCAGAGAAGGAAGGGAGGAAAAGTGTGATCAATCGAGTCTGAGATCGAGTGACCCTCTTAGATGGAATCGAGCGCTTTGTAGGTAACTGTGTCCTTTCAGAAATCCCGTGATGGATGCAGGGCCGAGGTCTCCACTTTTTCTTGCTCTGCAGGTGCGGTGCACATTAAAATAAGTGGTGCTGGTGCTAAGAGGAAGGAAGGGAGGTCACAGTAGGTCTGATATCACCTACAATCGATCCTCGTTATTTTAGTGCCTTACTTGACCATAGGTAGGTACCTCCATACACCTGCGCACGCTTTTTCTTACTACGTATGGATGACATGGACTCCGCCGGCCTCACACAAATAGATAGAATCTTATGTACCACCTAGGCCCAGGATGTACTAGGCCCCTCCCAACCCCCAACTCACGGCTGGCTGTACATTCTGCTTGCTTACCATGCTTTTTCCTCAATGCGACCTCCAAAAAGCATCACCTCCACTGTGGCAGTATTAGGTTCGTCGCAATCCTGCCAATTGGAGTCTTGATGCTCTGCGTCCTGCCTACACGAAACGCATACTTCGTCCCCAAAAGTCACCTTGGCTGGCGTGCGGAGGTCGGTACGTTTGCGGCAGTCGGAACAAGATCGCAAGTACTATGACCCTCGAGTGATTGGTTAGTACGTAGAAGGTAGGATTCTTATTATTACCTCCACAGGCCCTGCTCCGGACGCCCAGAATGGACCTGTCAGTTTGTGGGTTCGTCAACCTGGGCTGTAACCGGCTAAGATGACCTCAGTCTGGATGGTGGATGCTTACTCTCCCCCATGGATTCCTGGCAAGCGCTAGCATAAGAGGGACAGATCCTTCAGATGCAGGACTCTGGCGGTATTACTGTGAAGGCTGCTTCTCTATGTCCGAAGTTCACTGCTCCCAGCACGTAACTCCGTCTACCCAAGGCGCCCGGCATGTACCTGCATTGCGGCAGTGGCCGTCAGGGTGGATTGCGTGCCCTAAATAACCTTGTGGTCACCTAATAATAGAACTTTACTGGGCTGGCCGCCCTGAACCTCCGGCCAGGTGCAATTTTTAGCACAGATGAGCCACTAGCACTCCGCAAGCCACATCTTCTGGCCGGAAATTTGTGGAGAGGCCATCACCAACACACACCACACACTTGACGCCGTGGCATATGGATGTTTTGAGTCTTCCTTAGGTACTATATGTGGGTAAAAGGCCAAGGGGAAGCCAAGAAATAGGGCCGTTACACAGGAGACCTCACCAGAAGCATACCAGCTTTGCCCGGTGCCATACCTGTCAGAATCCTCATCCAATCAGCCTCACCCAAGTTGGGAGTATTTGTTTTTGCGTGTGGCGGATACCTAGACTTCGATCCATCGGCGAAATGGGGGCATTAAGGCTAAGGGAAATGGTCCTGTGAATATTCGCAGATTCTCGCTCGATCAGATCTCTCCAATTAGCCCATAGCACAGCGTAGAGCGCTGTGGCCAAACCCTAGCGTTACCAGCACCATTTGTAGCTGTATCATAAAACACGGCAGGAATTTCGAAACGAAGCATGTTTTATCTACGGACAATATGCTTGGAGATTATCAGGTAGCATGCTGATCCCATCAACGGATTCCCGTGCATCGTGATGGAGGAATCATGAGCCAATCTCAGCCTACCAAATAGGGTTCCATTGGATCTCATCATCGAAACCGTACGAGGACTTAGGTTGTGAAGGTATCATTGTGTCCCGCAGTTTCTATCAGCTTGAATTGAGCCTTGGGGCAGTGCTGGAATCCTATTCTGCTCACTTTCGTTTCAGTAATTGATCTCCATTTTGCATGAGGCCCGTTGTTGCAGTGCATGATTGAGGCCGAAGCCTGAAAGCTGATTCGACGAGTCCGGTCTCTTGGCTCAACTATGTATATTACAGCTCAGCAGATATACATAAATGGCCGAAGAGATGCCTTACCGCGAAAATGTTCAGATCCGTTTATCCCACCTAGAAGCCTACATCAGTGCATGACTTATCAGAACAAGAGTAAAACTTCCGGTTTTCATGTTTTATGTATTTGCCTACATTTCACTCCCTTGTCCACACGCTGCCATGAGCCAGAGCTCCTCGGAAGAAAGATTGACAATGTATATGAACAACCTCCAGCCATCCCCCGAGGAAGGGGTCCCCTTAATAGAGCCTTCGAGCATTCCGCTGAATATTCGCATCACTCAACATCGTAAGCCACAGACAAAATTCAACACGAAAAGCGATGGGAGTGGTATAATCCGATCAATTCAACCGACACTAAACGACATGTCGAGCCACGATTGCGAAGAGCAGCTTCAAGAGTATAAGTCTGCCAAGATATCATCTAAAACCGATAATTGCCGTCATAAATCTGGCCCGCAGGGTCCAGGTCGGCTGACGGGTTGGAGAGCTGGCCTAAGCATAGCTGCCGGGTTGACTCTCCTAATTCTGATCGGCAACATTACAATCCTTGGAGTCTTTTCATTGCCGACCTATCGAAGAGACTATAGTTCCGCAACCGCCCCAATTCGTACGGGAGAATGTGACGATATCAAGAACTTAAACTTCGGCATCCACCTTCTTATTAATATCGCGAGTACTCTCTTGCTTGGGGCAAGCAACTATTGTATGCAGACCGTTGGTGCTCCTACACGCCATGATATCGACATGGCCCATGCCAGCGGTAGATGGCTACAGATCGGTGTGCCCAGCCTTCGAAATCTGAGGCTAATTGGGAGGAAGAGGATCTTCATCTGGCTGTGCCTGGCCGCCACGTCTATTCCCCTTCACCTGGTGTAAGCATCTCGCTTCGGTTTCCAAGCATTTTCTCAATTCCAGGTTTAACCTCTCACATGGTTAGTTACAACTCGGTGTTCTTCATGTCAACCAGCTACAACAAGTACCGGATATACTTTGCGGACGCAACTTTTGCAACAGGGGCGCCTTATGACGAAGATAGTTTCAACATCACTCATGAAATGTGGATGCAGCTCCCAAACAGCACGAGAGATCAAGCCTTGTCCAACAGACTGCATCGAAGCTTATGCTAAAGATATCATACAGGACAGGGGAACAGAACTGGTACTACTGGATATGCTCGCAGAAGAGTTCTATTGAGAAAGATGAAGAGCGTCGTGATATAATCTGCAACAAGGACGCGTGGGGAAAGCAAATGAGCAACGGCACCTGGGAGGTGGCCGGTGTGAAGGTGAAATATTGCCTAAGTGAGCTGAAGCCCAGTCAGTGCCACCTTCACATCGCCGCAAGCCTCGTGGTTGTAGTCATTGCTTTCAACCTGACCAAGCTAATTATTGTTACTTTGATCCTGTTCGGCAACTGTCTAGACTGGGACCCTTTGGTAACTATTGGGGATGCTTCTGCATCCTTCATCAAACGACCCGATCCGAACACAAGGGGGATGTGTCTATCAGCGACTGAGGAGATAATGGAATGTTGGGGGAGTAAACGCCCAATGCCCCAAGAGTATCGGCTGCACAGTAACCGCTGGGCTTCGGCGGTAAGCAGAGGTCGCTGGATTTTTGCAATCTGCTTGTAAGTTCATTCGACCAGTTACGCCAAGTATTCCGCCCATCTGACATTTCCCCATAGGATTGCGGCCACATTGTCTATTCTTATTTGCCTCTTGGCTTGGGCCATCTGCAGCTTGTCTCGCTCCACCTTAGGGGCCGATGATTTCAAATCTGTCTGGTCGTTGGGTGTTGGCAAAATCAGTCCATACACCCTTATATCTACCTGGGACGTTCCTTCCGCAGGCGATGCGGCAGTTGTTTGCCTTGTCCTTCTTACCAACTTACCACAAGCGGTGTTCTCGTTCCTGTACCTTTTACTAAATGGAATCATGACTACTATGGTAGCTACACGCGAATGGACCAACTACGCTGATGCTATTCCCAAAGCCCTCCGTGTCTCTTTTCCAAAGAGAGGACAGCGATCTACGTTTTTCTTGCAGCTACCATATCGGTACAGCCTACCATTGATCATCAGTTCGGTGTTGATGCACTGGCTTATCTCACAGAGCTTTTTCATGGTGCAGATGATTGAGATTCGCACGTGGGAGTCTCAAGAGGACCAAGAAGATATCGAAGTAACGGACATCACAACCACGGCCGGGTATTCTCCCATGGCCATGTTTCTAGCCGGCGTCGTCCTGTTGATAGTCATTTCCACAATAGCTAGGCTTGGAGGGTTCAGATTCAAGGGAGGCATGCCATTAACCGGGAGCTGCAGCGTAGGCATCGCAGCCGCATGCCATACGTTCGAGAAAACATCAAGCCGGAGACCGGTGACATGGGGTGTGGTTGTTCCGGCCAATCGCACTCCAGATGGTGTTGGACACTGCTCCTTCTCCAACAAACGGGTAGACCTGCCAGACCAAGGGAGTCTGTATGCTTGAAAGTAATTTGCTGCGATGGTGAATGTGGATATTCAACTGATGATCGTGAGACAAAGCAGCTCGAGGCGCCTATGGCAATAACATAGCTCCCCGCAGCACATAGGGCATACCACTAGTCATTAAGAGTTTACCAAAAATGCATTATCCTACTCTATCATCAATAGTGAGTCTATGAAACATCATCGAGAATCATCAAACCTCCAACATCGTCGTATCCGACTCTGCCCTCGTTCACAGCATTCTGCATAACACTCCGGAGAACCATTCTCTCTCCGGTGACAGGATCCCACTCCCAGCCTTCTCGCATCCACATCCACCTCAAACACGCTCGTAGCTCTTTGTCGTCGGGTCGTACTCTCATCCACTCTGGTTGAAACTCTGGCTCCCTGCCCTTCCCATTCCAATCCTCAGCACGTCCCAGGAGCACATCTCGACAGAAGATTCGCCAGCTGTCAATGGCATACTTGCCTTGTGTCATATGCCCGATTTCCCAGGCGTCTGCGTCGTCCTCGTCATCATTGGGCGTCAACATCCCCGTCTCCATACATTCGGCAAAGTTTCCATGGTTGAAATCCGGCTCCTCTCTGCGGTCGTAGTTTCTCACCCTATAGACTTTTCCCGCTCGGGGTGGGTCTTCGATGAAAGCTCTCGAGTATCTCTGCAAGAATCTCAGCCGGTGGGTAGATAGGCCCAGGTGGCGGATCATATCGAGTATCTCTGTTGCGTTTGATTCATCTCCCAGGTCAGTCGGCGCAGGAAACCGCTCCTTGATCGCGTAAAACACCGGTATAGCAGCAGTGCCCTTTGTCCGTATCAAGAATGTGACAGCCACAAGGAGCCAGAAAGGTTCGTGGGCCAGCCTCTCCTGTATAAGGCCGAAGCAAGGTGAGGTCAGGGGCGGGAACGGCACGCAAGAAACCATGCCTGCCTGGGGTCTCCCTGGCGTGTGTGCCTTTTGGGGAGATTCCGAGGGAGTGAAGTATGGCGAGGCATCATTAGCTCTGCTGCGTCGTTCCAATGAACTCTTGGTCGGGCTTCTTCGTTCGGGGGAAGCTTTGGGGCCAGGAACCGAGGCCTGGCATACGGTGGGCTGTGTAGCAGGACCTTGTGGCGGGAAGAGCAAGTTTGGCGATAGGGATGGAGACGGATCAAGATTCGCTTGCGGTGGTGAAATATTGGGTGTGGCGTCTCTCACGGAAGAGATCGCATCCTGTGTTCCCCCAAACCAATAATGGGAAGTGGTAGCCTTGCAGACTCGTCTTCTGGGTGTTGCAACTTGGGCATGCAGGGCAAGGCGCTCAGGGGATGACTTGATATTCACCTCCTGGTCCTCATGCAGCTCAAGGGATTTGGCCACGGCAATGAGACGATCTGTTTCTTGCCAGGGTCGCACTTCGGTTTCGATTTCATCTGAGCTCTTAGAAGCCAAGTGTTCCAATCTCTTCGCCAGTGCAATTAAGCGATCCGTTTCCTGCCATGGTCGCGGATCAGGAGGGGCAATCACACGGTTCAGACGGAAGATCTCCCAGATAAATGTTAGCAGGTCCTTCCCGTCCAGGCTTTCGGGGTTGCCATCTCGCGATTGCTTCATTGAGCTCGCACAGTCGATGAGAGCCGCCCAATCATCTGCCCAAGCTTCCAAGCTCTGGGTAAAGAGCTCGGAGTAGTCATTGTGATGCGATGTCTGAATATTGACTCCTCGAAACACAAAATCCGCAAATTCTTCGTCAAAGTCTCCAAAGACGCAGAGCAAATCACGACCGGTGTGATGCCGGCTGCGGTATATGCTTTCGCCCATAGGATTTGATCAGGAATGGTATATCATGGTTGATGTTTCAAGTTGAGACCAAGGTGAGCCGGCTCAATTTTTGAGGTCGGTTACACAAAAGTGTTTCAAGTGTGGTATTCTCGACTCGTAGCACTTCATCTGATATATGGCCGTGACCTTTAGGCCTCGTGGTCTGCACATATATGAATGTCTTAATTTGATGAAAGGTCAAGACTGCGTGAAGTGTCAAAGTAAGGATTTCCGTAACTTGTAGCCATCCAATCGTTTAGTGCCCCTGTTGCTATCAATGTTAGTGGCTTCACCCCTCTGGGTTAGCAGGGCTTGTTAAGCAATCGCGCTATTTGGGCCACGTGCCCGCCTAGCAGCCAGGCAGCTGTGGGCTTCAAACACAACAGTAACAACAAAAAACTATGATTTTTCTACCTACCTATAGCTCACCAAGAAATTGATAGAATTCTACTATCGAGTCTATAATCACCTAGCTAGATCCTCCTATTCAGTGGAATTCGCTATTTGGCACATGCGGCTGTTGTGCTTGAAACCTCTGCTATAGGTTAGCACTTAGGTTTTCGGTCTTTTTTTTTTTTCGGTCTTTTTCCTCGGGCAAGGCGCTTGGCGCACTGGCCATGCACTAGCTGGCGCCACCAATATTTAGCGGTCGGACCTCAGCAATAGTGACGGAAATCTGAGGTTGTATGACGATAAACTGCCTCGACGCGCCCTTCCGATCTATCCTATCAGGCCTGGGATGTACTATGTATGCCTCACTGCCGGCTCACCCATTCTGGTTAGGAGGCAATGCTCCCCTCAAATTGGCCCCAGATATGATAATGCCGAGCATACAAGGCCTCGATGGGGATATTGTTTCGGTGAAAAACCGTCGTACATCAAAACCTTGGGGCGAAAACGAGACAAAGATGTTATAATTTATTTGGTTGCTAGTTTCAATCGCATGTCTTAATTGCATCTACCTTCGTTCGCATCACTTCTCGTCCGCCGAGGCGCGCCTGTGTATGCAAGCATGACAGGAAAGCAAGGGTCTGGCTTCAGGCATTGGGGTCGCGTGACGGTAGGAACCAGCTGGTAGTCGGAGAGTTTCGGTGACCCATCTCATGATTTGATTGCCCGTCACCACGTCAATGGGCATCCATCCCCGCTGGCTGGGGCTGGGGGCCAATTCGATGCCTTATCGTTTGAGATGTGAACCAATGTCTAGATGCAGCCCCGAGTTGGCAGCGAGTGATGCTAGCCTCGCCCTTGATCGCATCTGACGCGCCACTGCAGCCGGGAGCAAACGCCCCTACAATTTACCACGCTTTCCGGTGCTGGACGTGCACCCCGAAACACACATTGGGATAGGCGGCGACCCAGTTCTCGAATCACGTGCTCCAGCTAAGTACATGTACGGAGTGGCATCACTCATCTCAGGACCCACCTCTCTTTCCCCGTTTGCATTTGTGAGTGTGTTAGCCTGAGGTACGGACAGTACGTACCGTGTTGGGAGTCGCAGCACGTCCCCGGTTCTACCACCTTCGCCGCCCTGTCTCTCTCTCCAACCATCCTCCTCTAACCTCCTCCACCGACCATCTAACGCCTGGCGTTATCAATCTCCTATCGATCCTCGATTCGATACTCGTCTCAGAAAACGATCATCAAGATATGAGTAGTCGCGGTGGTAAACTAGCACCAGAAGTGAACCGGTGAGTCGCTCCCTCGAGTTCTTCTTTCGTCGTCCGGTCGCCAAGTTTCCTCGACGTTGAATTACGGTGTTACGGTTCGCATCTCGGATTGGTCCGAAATGTCCTCGGACATGTTCGCATCATCCCTCGACATACTACACGAACCTTCAATCGACCTCTTGTTCATATTATTATCATCGCTGTGTTTTTTTTGTGCCTTTGATGTCATATGCTAACTTTAAATCCCAGAGCTCTGTTCGTGAAGAACCTGAGGTAACAATTGAAACATGGCGTTCTTGATCGACCGACCTCGATGCTGACATCAATTCCTATAGCTACAACGTAACTCCAGAAGAGCTCTTCGACCTCTTCGGAAAGTTTGGCCCTATTCGGTACTATTTCCCCTATCGGCACGCTCGCTTGCGCGCGTGTCTAATTTCTCTTCGTTTGGTCGGCACTGACTCTCTCCTAGCCAAGTCCGACAGGGCATCGCGAACAACACCAAGGGCACTGCCTTCGTCGTCTACGAGGATGTAATGGATGCGAAGCAAGCTTGCGACAAGCTGAATGGTTTCAACTTTCAAAGCCGTTACCTAGTTGGTATGATCATGCTCATTTTTCTCACCTACTTTTCCCAATCGCGCTCGCTAATTTTTTCCCTCGCAGTTCTCTACCACCAACCAGAGAAGATGGCCAAGTCAAAAGAGGACCTCGCCGCCCGCCGCGAATCTTTAGCTCAGCTCAAGCAACAGCATGGCATCGATTGACAATCCGACCGGCCTGTGGACAACCTGCACAGGAAGAAGGTGCATTCTTCCTCGCCTGCAGGCCGGTCTTCTGTATCACCTAAATCTCTGTCGCCCGATCTCAAGACGATTCTGCGAACGGAGAAGTCGAGGTCCGACACCGCCTCAGACGATCACGCCCGCCCCCGAGGGGTTCGCTTCGTGGAAGGACAGCGTCCTAGATTGCAAGCCGTGGCGTGATACGATGTATTCTGTACCAGTAACGACCATGTAACGCGACATCCATCAAAATGGACAGGCACTGGAGGATTCGTTTCTAATTGCGGTTTTTTTATTTATTTATTTATTCGTGGACTTATTACTACTCTTCCCACGGGCTTCTCGACTTCTTGACAACACCGGGCGGTTGGCCTCGAGTATCAGAGTGGACTGTGTGATGGATTCGACAATTGGAAGCATGCCTCTCAGGGAGCGTTACAAAATCTTTAGAAGGATGATTTCCCCTTCACCCCGTCGTACCAGGCCTGGTGCGCGGTTCACCTTGCTTGTCTCGACGCGAATGCTTCCCAATTCGTCTTGTCTTGCAGCACGTGGATAGTTACCATGAGATGCTTTAGGGTCACATTCATGAAATTGCAATAAATTACGTGACCAATTAAATGGTAACACGCTCACTCTCCAAACATACCTGACATGAACAGTACTACCAGACGTGGCTACCTTACCCAGACCCCCACAAGCAACCCAGACAAGAGTAACGTCATCACGGTTGTACCGGTATCTGCTTGTCTACCATCTGTTGTATTGCTAGTAAGACGATGGATTTCTTTTAATAGATGTGGTCATTTTGGTATTACTCTAACATATACTTTGGCAAGCTACGTGGCTCTTTGTATACACTCCGCAGCCCTTCGTGTTTGATGGAAAACAACCTCGAGCCAAAACTAGACGTGTTCATTTATCAGGCGCACAAAATAGGTACGTAATCAGGAGATCCCATGTTTCTCTGGAGGGAATGGTGGTGCACACTTTAGGTCAGGCTGCCGGTCGGAGGGGGGAAGCGGACGGTGCTAGAAGGGGGCGGGGCTTCGAGGTTTATTATTCACGTCTCGAAATGCTCAGTCTGTTTTGGAGAGGCGGGGAAAATACCCAGCGAATTAGGGGGAAAAGATAACAGAGATTCATCGATTCAACCTTGCTACTGCTAAACCAGTTCAAAATCGTCCTTGTGCCGGACTCCCTACGCCTCTGATGATCCTATCTCATGTAGGAACCAGGCTGAACCATCCGCAATTGTTCCTTGGCTATGGGCTTGGGAACTTGTAAATTCTAGATCATCTAAGCGGCGAACCCCCTGAGCTCGGCATGGACTTCCCGCAGGCTGGGCCGGTCGTAGTAATTCTCATTCCAGCCCCCTCGCTCCATGCCTTGCAGACGCGCGTGCAGCCAATCCTCGGACGCCTGTATCTCCTCAGCCCACCACTTCTTCGCCGTGTCTTGGACCTCCTCGGGGGTCGACAGGCCTGTGCCCTCGAGCCTTCGTAGCACGAGCTGGTTTCCCTCCCGGACTATGTGCTTGCTGAGCCCGGCCCGCCTGCCCCGGGTGCAGCGGTCGATGAGGTCCCTCAAGGGGCCTGGCGTTCTGCCGGTGTAGTCTGGGAACTCCACGATGGGCTCCCAGCGGTAGGAGAGCCATGCGGCGGCCCGCTGGGGTGCGCTCTTGGCTTCGAAGATGCACCACAGGACCCGGCCGAGCATGTACACCTCGCACGACTCCTGCTCCTTCTGGGTGAGGCAGGACCAGGGGATGTTGTACCCGTCCGAGGGCCATCTGTAGTCCTCTCCCTGGCCCATGTCTTCCCAGTGCGGGAGCATCTTGGAGAGCAGCTGAGAGTAATGGGCGGAAGTGGACTCGGGTATCTCTTCATCGATGGCCAGCAAGCGTATGTACTCGATGGCATTCACCTCGGGGGCAGCGAACTCGCACCAGACGCCACGCTGCTCGAAGTCGACCATGACCACACTGCCGTCCGCCGACAAGACGATATTGTCAAGTCTCAGATCCGGGTAGAAGGTTTTCGAGTTCTCGCGGAGATGGACGAGAGCAGAGGAGAGCTCCACCGCCCACTTGACCTTGTCCTGCAGCCCCACGTTGCCGTGGAGCTGGAGGAAGGGGATCAAGTCGCGCAGGCTTCCGGGAGGGTGGTATTCGAGGGTGAAGCCCAGGACGGCCGTCTTGCCGCCGAAGCTGCACTTCTTGGTGACCAGGTGAGCCGGCTGGCTCACGATGTTGGGATGAGGCGAGATCTTGAGGAGCTGCCGGAGCTCGTGATATAGATACTTCGGGTAGCTCGTCAGGGCCTTGAAAATCCACACTCGCCCGCCGATGGTGACGAGGCAGACGCTGTCATGCAGCTGCGACATGTATGCAACCTCGCCGATGTCGACACAGGGCGGGAGCTGGATGTCGGGGCCCCAGAAAGCCTCCAGCTCCGGCACCGACAGCAGCTGCATTTCGAGTGCATGGGAAGGTGCAACGATGATATTCGCCTGGGAGATATTGATGGGGATGTTCTGGAGGACGATTCTCGATCCAAAGGGGAGGTTCTTGTATATTTTCCGCGGGTCTTCCATGCTGGTAACCCAGAACTGGAGGATGCGTAGGACATGCCGTGTAAGTCCAAGTCTGGAGATGCGCTCCTTGTCCCTGGTGTGAAATGTAACATCGACATCAAGCAGCTCGCGGATATTTAGAGGGAGCTTTGAGGGCTCGGGGATGAAGACATCTACACGCAGCGGGCGCATGGGGTCCAGAAAGAGCGGGACGGCATAGAACTGGCCGCCAAACGCTGTGCATCCGTCAATTTCCCACAGAGGGTGTTTTGGCATGTCAAGGCTGTCGATGCGATTCTTGGGATTGAGAGAGGACGTCTGCCAGTTCGTCTCCGCCAGCCTAACAGACGATGATGCATCATCACCGTTGGAACGGTGGCTGGAGAACGCTGCGGTCGGGTGAATAACATCATGGATGGACTGCTCACTCAGCTCCATGGTGTTTTGTCGTCGTTGGCTTCCTCCCGAACCCTCAGATGGGGAAAAGAGGCTCTGTATCGGAGCGCGTACGGCTTGTAGTGGAGTAAGCTGCACCGGGCGGTAAGCTGGCTGGCTGGCGATCAACAATGGATCGATCTCTGGAAGAAAATGGGCACGCTGAGGACAAGGTGCAGGAATCGGTTTCTCGGCCCAGCTTGAGACTTTAAAAAAACACCGACGGGACGTGGGCTTTTCGCAGAGGATAGGGTCACGGAATCTTGTTGGCTCCCAAAAAGTGCGACGAGGTGCTGATGCAACGACGTGGTACAGCGGCTGGGGCCAGGTTACCAAACCAGCAAATTCGGAAGAGAGACGGGCTCAGCTGCCTCCCCGTAAATTGCTGCTAGTCGCAGCTGCAGCTGGCTGAAACCGGAGCCGTTCGTGAATCACATGATTGGCCTATTCCATTGTACATTTGTCGAGGATGACAGACTGATGTAGGGGCGGCGGACCATGCAGACAAGGCAGTTCAAAGAAGTAAACATCCTTGGCCGTATTTTGGCCATGGGAGCCCAACCTCATTCCGAAGTCCTTGTACCTTTGTATTGTGTAATGGAGTGACCAGAGGTCGATCATAGTCGCCACCGACACGGATCGGTGATTCGGGCTTCTTGTTTCTTGCAGCCTGGCGGTAATACCTAGACGGCCATGTTGGGCTGTTGTATTCTCTGTTGTAGGTGTCAACGTTGGCCATTCATACTGGATGAACTGGAGCTCGAGGCGTCTGTCTGAGGCGCCTGTCTCTAGATTCTGGTTGATAGAGCCTGGGCATCTAGTTGCGAAACCTACTCTTGCTACTGATTCCCTCATCGTAGGAAAAGGGGATTTCGTATAGAGATTGCGACGAGATACTGGACAGGAAACTTGGTGGGGTTGGGTGTTTAGCGGATCACGAGCAGATGCTAGAGTATCGAGGGAACTTTGGTGATCAGAATCGGGCAATGCAATTGACCCTAACATGTCAAATCAATATCATGAATGAAGCTGTTTACACGGAATACCCTAGGAAGTAACTGTTGCCCGAGACTGTCTTGGGGTTCGCTTGTAGGGGGGGCTTGCTCGGCTAATGAGGTTGAAGTAGAGAAGTGCCAGCTCAGATGGCGTTTCTTTCCTTCTTTCGATTTCCCTTCATTTGATGGAAATGAAGATGGACGAGAAAGAAAAAGAAAGTAAAGAGGAAACGAAGGAGAACCTATAAGACCAGAGGGGCTGAAACATATATAATATGATGGAGTGACAGAGGTGATATCGTGTTGGCTTTGATCATGCCAGCGGAGGCAAATCACATCAAACATCGTTTGAAACATCGCTCTCGCACTACCGCACCAAAAGCTCCCTTCCATATTCGGACAAGAGAGGGTAGACATCACTCCAATTTTGAGTGGAAGTTAAGTAGCATGTCTAGAACAGTGTCCTTCTGCTGGGCAGACGGCACAACCTTTCCCGTGGGTATGAGGACCGGGGAACAGACCGGCGGCCTATCCAGCGGTCTACCTATTGGAATCTCATGAGTAAATGGTCGGGCAGGGGAGAGCTTCATCGACAAGACTTCAGGGATGTCCAGTTCGTGGGGCGGCTGATTTGGATGTCCTACGTCCCCTCCATGTACAAAGGTGCAGGAACGAAGTAACGGGAACCCTCGTAGCTTCATGAGTCGCTTTTAGTGGCATTTGGTGACAGGAATAGCACATGTTTTCGGGCTAGAAACACCGGGGATACATCCCTGCGGTTCCCAACCAATGGCTATGCGACCCATACGGAATCTCCTCTGTGTGTACGTTAGTGAAATCCTGGGATGTTGATCCCTGATTGATCGTCAGAATTATGAGTAGCACCCATGCTCGATGTGGCATGTCGAACAAACCAGACTTCTCAAGCCAGGGTTGCTTGGATCTGACCGTCGCAAGCCTCAGAACGCCACTTGCCTCACCCGGTGAACAGTGAGAGGGTCACCCAGGCTACTCGTAAGATTGCTGGCGGTAGAATGGGGTAAAGAGAGGCCACACCAGCCAGTCACACCAGGTTTCCCTGGGTCTCGTTGTCCCGCGAGAGCGGCACAAGCAGATAGCATTCTGGGGTCGCATTGACCTTCGTCGGAGGGACAATGCTACCTGCACATAGCGAAGCTGTGGTATGTTTGGCTCGGGCCTTTCTGCCGATGGCCACCAATGGACTTATCTGCGACGGTTGTTGGTCGAGATAGTCTTGGCGAACGAGAACCGGGCAAACCGGCTTAGTCAGCACATCCCCAAACCTCCTCAGCTTCTCTGGCCGCGCCTGCCAACTTTGCAGCGTGCTATGTATACCAGGCCAGGAGCTATGGGCCGGCCTCCCTCACATTAAGGTAGATACATCCCGCGGCTATCGTGGAACGGGAGTAGTTCCTTCCCCACATATCTCAATCCTTCCATTCCGGGGAAGGAACAAATGAGCTCGAGTCCTCACTTGTGACTTTCACTTCTGAGAGAAGGAAAAGATGCGTCGTCCCACCTGATGGTACGATACAGCATCATAGCTGAACATCCCAAGCGGAGTTCGTTGTTGGCGCTTCTTCCCCACCAGTCACTGGCTTGCCTGGGCCGTTCTTATCATGCCACTTAGGCTCGCTCTCCTCAATGTCCCTTATGCACGGCGCCCAATCTCTGCTGTGTGTGTGCTTTGACCCTATTACGGCCAGCAGAGACCGGCCCGTTACGCAGGCCATCGTCACACTGCTCACCCAACCACCATTTCAAATGCGCCGGATGCGACTTGCCAGCTGGCCTACTGCAAACGACCGGGGCCTGCGAAAAATACACCGTTCGTCATTTCATTTCTCACATGTGAGCCGCGATAGTCCATGTCGGCCAATCTGCGGCTCATTGGCAAGGGTTGCCGTCGGCTTCCTCGACTCTTCCATACATACTATTCTCGCATCTTATGCTGCTACTAGACTAGTTCGACTAGCAGACGCCCATGCAAGCAATTCTGCAAATCACGATCAAGGGGCTGACATTGATCATTCGAGATTGGTTCTATCGCTCTCACCGGTCCCACTGCCTCTGCCAAGAAGAGCGCATATTAGTCTTGTCGGCCGTCTTGTGTTACCCTGAATATGCAAATCTCATGCATATGATGTTCCCTTGATGCCTTATTAGTCGTCATTTGCCCGTCGGAACACACACACCCGTTGGGCTGTCTATATCCCCGGCTTTTCAGACCGTCTCGTGACCAGCAATTATAATCGCCCAGCTTACCACTCTTTTGATGGTATCTGCATGAGAGTGTGACACCGGCCAAGATGTGTGTGGTTTTCCGTTACAATAGAATGAGTTGGTCAACCACTTCGCGAAACTCTCATGCAATGCGTCGGAAGCTGGCAGCTGGGCACGTGTCTGGGCTCCTCGTGACGGCAAGCGACATGCTGCAAAGCGCCCGTGCATGGGAGCTTGCCGCACACAAATGCTACCTAGGTAATTGCCATTTAGGATCTGATCTTCTCACGATATGCATCGGGATCAGTGGACCAAGGGTCTCGGCTCACCGATGGGAGGAACAATGGAACAAAGCCATGCCTCAACCAACGATCCCGGGCCAAGCAAGGGTGGATGTAGCAGGGCTTGCACGCGCTCCGTCCCTCTTTTACACACACTTTCTCAGCAGCTCGGCTGAGGATGATTCGGAAGCCATGTGTGACAATGAGCAACAAAACACCTCATTCTGCACCCCCCACCCATGGCTGCAACCCTGTGCTGAGGCCTTGATCCAAGGCTCTGTTATGTGCCCGACATTGCCAGCATAAGCAATGATGCAAGATTCCCACCTCAAGTGCCACCCCTGCCTTTTTCGCCCATTTCCCTCAAACCGGTGAGATAGTATTCAGCAGAAAATTCCCATCCTCCTCCAACAATTGTTTCACCGAGTCTTTGTCTTTCACTCTGTTCGATTTGGTCTACAGTAGCGGCACACTGTGGCAACAACCACCAGAACTTGTCACCCACCACCCTTGAGCCATACCATCTCATCGGCTTTGGTGCGATTTGTGATCGACTAGCATCGCGAGGCTCCGTCCACTTGCCGCTTGGCTGAATTGCTGTTTTCGTGGACTAAGCCGCACGCCCAGGCCACCATCGCAACCGCACGTTCGAGCGATGCCACCTCCGAACACCGCTCAGTAGTTGGCATCACTAGCGGGCTAAACGCTCCCACCACCCGCGCTTGAATACAGTTTCTATCTAGTCCCCAGGTCTAGTCCCAAGCAGGCCTTCATCTCCTCCTGCCTGTGCTTTCCCCTGGCTCTCCCGGCCCTTGTTTCGCGCGACGGGCATCTGCCGCCAGTTGAACGGCTCGCGGAGGACCCAGAAGTCCCTCTACATTAGATATGTTCCTTGTGGCACGATAGTTATCCACCCCTCGCCCCCGACGCGCTCCCCTGTTGCGGCCGTGCGTTGCTTGCCATACCGGTCATCAGCCTCGATTCCCTCTGGGTCTATCGTATACCTAATACTTCGTCATACACCGGGTGGTGGTACATTGATCGTTCCTCACTCCGCCGTCTAGTTTATTTCACACCCTGTCTTACTGCAGCCATTATGGTAAGGATTTTTCTCTCTCCGGTCGGCAGCGTCCTGCATGAGCTACATGACCGATCTCCCCGGTCCTTAACTCAAATGTCTCCAATTTCCTGCCGCTGCTCTCTTTCCCTGCACCCCTTCCTCGTGTATGTTGCGAACACACTCTCTACACATCGTCATGCGACATACCCCATCGTATTGAACTATACTTCAATCGGTGTATATCCAGTCAGTTTTTCCATGGGCGGTGAAATTAATTGCTTGACAGGAGTTTCACAACGATTTGAACCCTAAAAGGGCTCGAGATCCTTTCGGGGGTGAGACATTGTTTTCCCCATCCTTTGTTCCACTTGCACAATACTCGCCTGTCGATCTAGCTTCGTTTTCCTACCCCTTTGTTGCAACTTCAACAGATTTTAGTAGTAGCTATGCTACTGATGTCCAGACAAATCCTTTTGTAACTGAACCTGAACCACATATACGGAAAAGAATAAAGACAGAAACTATGTCACCCCCAACCCCCGCAAATCTAGGTCTCACGCAAGGCCCGGTGCCATTGGCTGAAGTCGAGAAGTCGGGCACTGCTCACCAGCATCAAAGCGACGGCCTGTGCTCCTTGTTAACCTCCATTGGCTGCAATGGAGAGGCACCTGGCGGCCTGTCTCTTGCCCAACGGGTGATGAACTTTGGGTCGGCGTTTTTATGCCCGTGCTGTGGGTTTAAGTTTTTGGCGCTACAGGATGGTAAGGACCTCCCATAACTGTCGTTCTTTTGTCACTTGCAATTGACACATGGCCAAGGCTATCAACCCTTACTTGAGACGCCTCACACTTCACTTAGTACATCTGGCCCCTACCACATCGAGAAGCCACCTTCAATGCAGGTTTTGATTCCCAAGTCGTACAACTCTAATGCTGTGGAGTCTGAGCAGCAGACTCCGTTGCATAGCGACCAGCCAAGTACGCCATTGCCGCAGCTATCTGGGTTTGCGGCCAGTGACCCGGCCTACTCGCCATTGTTGACGGCAGAGGCATCTAGTAGTCAAGGACAAGGCTTCATAGGCCCAATCATCAAGGCTGAATCCCCGACTGGTCCCGACGCCCTAGTTTTCCAAGCTGAACACCCACTGGACACACCAGTGCCGGCCATGCCTTCCTATAGTCGAAATGTTCCTGCACAGGGGGGGAGAGAAGTGGTCTTTCACCAAAGCGAGAGCCTCGCTTCTCTCTCCGCTCGGTATAATCTTTGCCCTTCTCACGCTGCCGCCAGTAGATCAAACGCAATGTCCCGGGACCATGCCGCACCACATGAGCACCACCCAACTTTTGACATACTGCAGCCCAATCAGAGAGGTGGTAAGCGTGGGCCTTTCAAGGATCCGTCTCTGCGGGAGCAGACTGCACAGACAAGGAAAATTGGTTCCTGCATTCGATGCAGGATGCAGAGAATACGAGTAAGTTCTCACACCGCTGCGTTGTGCTTCCAACCTGGTTGACTGATCATTGTACAGTGCGAGCATAATGACGCTGACCCTACGGGGCCGTGTTTGACTTGTAAGAAGGTGGCTAACACAAGGGCCGGCCGCTTCCCGTGTTTACGGCTTAAGATTACAGATGTCAAATGTTACAAGCCGGGCCAAGTTCCTGGCTACGAATGGAGCAAAAGATGGATCGACACTGTTCCAGGCCCTATCCAGAAGTGGGCATCCACTGAAACCAAAATAATAAAGATCTCGGAAGGGTTTTCTGACGAGACACTTGACGTTGTGGTCAAGGAATTCATCCCAATAGAGGGTGACAAGCTGGAAAGAAGTTGGTATCATAATGGAGAGAAGAAAACTGTTTCAATTCCACCATTTGCATTGGTGGAATTAGAGACAGTTAAGGCAGCCTACCTAAGACACATCCACAGATCAATGAATCAAGCGTTTGCGAAGATTCTTGGGCGCCGTGGTCTGATATATAGAACCTACCAACAGTCAGTCAAACTCTGCAAGAAACAACAGATTCCAAACGAATCTCAAGAGCTTCTGCGGGACGTGTTCAGGCTTTGGATGGCCGTGAGGCTCTCGACAACATCCAACTTCATTGTGGGAGAGGAGACCCTGGGTATGCCCAAGGATATCCTCGATGAAACCAACCCTCACCCGGGGACGATCCCAATCCCTCCGGTCCTTGGAGCTCAGTTGGATTTGATCCTGATTCACCACATCCAAAGCTCGCTGAGGCGCCAGGTGCTTGATAGGTTGGAAAAGATGGTTTCGAAAAGAAAGCATAGCGCATGGATGGTCTCATACCTCGTCACCTTTGTCTTGTTGCACAACGCTGCCCTCATTACCGCTCATGACGCCGGCTATGCTCGCAAACATGGAATGAATGTGGGTCAAGTCACTCCGAAAAGAAGAAAAACACATGAGATAAAAGAAAAGAAAATCAGAGGTTGTTACATCTGCGGCTGACACTACGTTTTGTTGATAGCGCCGATTTGCTCGAGAGGACAAGGTCAGAGAGTATCATGCAGGTCGGTGATATCAACCAGCACGCATCTTTTCCTAAATGGTCGGGCTAACACGGGGACACTTGTTTAGGTGCCAACATCCTGCTCGCCCATTTTCATTACTGCAACAAGAATGTCCATCCTTTCACTGACGGATGCAAGGACCAGGATCTGCGGACGCTTGCAGGCCTGGAAGAGGACCAAATCCGGTTTGTGCATGCGACGAGAAACTACGCGAAGAGGCACCGTAAGTGAACCTGCCCGCCTGAAGCCCTTGGCAGTTTATTGAATCGGCGCTAAGGCGGATAACTGCACCTCACAGGACAAGAATGGGAGGGAATCCGTGCGAGGGGTGAAGTTGAGAATGACTACTACTTCGTCAGCCAGCTCTACGACGAGAATTGGGACGCTCGGACAACGACATAACCGGGTGTCGCGTTAAGAAATTGAAGCTGCATGGGAAATTTGAAACAGCCGGATACTTGCAGGAGGAAGAAGCAACTCAGGACTAGAAGTATTTTTCTTGTTTGTTTTCGTCACCGCCATCTGGACGACTTGATTCTCTTTCCTAAGAGGCAAGTCCATGACCCGTATTGTTACCTTACGCTTCGGGAAATAAGAAAAGAAAGGAACAAAAGCAAAAAAAAAAAATATATATGATGATGACAAGGGGATATCGCGAGGAAACAAGGTCACGAACTTTTTTTTTTGTCTTGGATACGCACGGCAGAGGGCATGGAAGAAAAAGCAAAGGACTCAATGTACGTGTAATGACAGGATGAGAATGTAGCACAGCACGCACAAGGTTTCACAGTCATAGAAATAGTCTCTGGCCCGCTCTTGCCATGTGTCCGATGCTTTTACTCCGGCAAGCGATTCCCCGAAGATCTCTGTCTCGCATGGCGACTTAGTGGATCATCTGCAGAGATAATCACTGCTGGTTGGAGTGAATCCTCATTTTGATAGGCGGGGGGAGCAACACCAGCGGTTCCGACCAGATTGCACCACAGAAAGCCCCGAGGCCCCTCGTCTCTCACGTCGCACAAGACGACGGAGAGCACAGGGCAATGCTTGATTGAAATATGCAGGACGGGTGTATGTCTCACGCAGCTCCGGAGTCGGACTGGGATATCTCGCACGTACGCATGCACAGCCAAAAACGCAAAAAGCAAATAGAGTCCAGCCCAGCCCAGCCCAGGCTTTCTCTTGCTTGCTATCCCAGGCTTCATTCCCCCTTTCGCCTCTGCCCGATGCCCGCAGCTGCGCATTTGATCCCTCCCCGTTTCCCCTTCATGGCCTGGCCTCAGCCAAGCCGCCCTCCCCACCCAATATACTAACGATAGTGCTAACTATAGTATGTAGCTAGCACTGGTGCCACAGGCCGATACCCCCATCGACTTATACACCCCGTTGCACCCTCACACAAACTGCGTTACCAGCGACTCCCCGCGATCCATGGCTTGTGCGCCCTTGTCACCGGAGGAGGCGGCAGATCGGCAAGCGCCTAAATGAGATGTCCAGTGACATAGAGCCAGGCTAGTGTGCTCGAGGGAACTCTCACAGGGGGAGAGGAGAGAAGAGAGAGGAGAGGGGAGAGGGGAAAGAGAGTATGGTTTGGGTGTCTATAGATAGGTAGCCACGCCCATGTACGAGGCTGGAACTGGGACCTAACATCGCATTGCTTCTTCCGCCTGCCGCTCTGCATCACGCTATGTTTTCTTTTCTTGCCAGCGCTGACTGAGTTCTCACCGTACACAATCGCGCGTTTCGTAGAGACACGAGCCCGTGGTACGGTGGGGGGTACCTGATGCTCGCTCCCGTGTGCGTGTAGCATACTCCTTGGTGATTTGAAGACGGACAGCTGGTGTAGCCAGCCAGCCAGCCACTGCCGAGAGACTGAAACGACGAGAAATAGTGTCGGGTAGTACAGCATCTGAATCACGGTCAAGGCGACGCCTATATAACCTTCTCTGATGGACGCTCTTTCCTCCCCGACTCTCATCAGAACTTCCTCCTCTCCTCCAACGACTTGGAACTCCAACCTTACCTTAAGACCACTACTTCCTTTTAACACCCACCCCAAGTATAAGCAAGGTGAAATTTCCACCATTGCCCCTTCATTGAGAAAGCGTAGCCCAAGTCCCGGACACACTATATCTTCCTCTCTATCAGTCTACCCACTGCTACCAAAGAAAGAAGGCTGCCATGGCATTCTGCGAGGCCCAACCAACCATCCGGTCCGCTCACGTGGAGAAGTTCCCTTCTCTTATGGCAAGGACCCCGGGTCTGCCAGGCGGATTTCCCGACTTTGTGGACTCGCCGTTAGCGTGGGCTGGAGAGCAGTTCACAGATGAGAACGAGTTCATCCACGTCTTGAGTGATGATGACATTCTCGAGCTCGAGGCAGCTCTTGATCACTTCAAAGGTTCGAGATTCACCCCTTCGCACCAGAGTGAACACACCACTGACACATAGATCGAACAGGTCTTGGTCTGGATGGCGATCACATCACCAAGGACACCTTCCCACTGCCCAATCTCGCAAGCAAGCTTGATATCGTTCGCCAAGATCTCCACAACGGAAAGGGTTTTGGACTAGTTCGCGGATTGGATCCCAAGAAGTACTTGGTCGAGGACTTGACCATGCTGTACCTTGGTATTCAGACTCATGTCGCAAATCAGACCGGCCGCCAAGATAGCAAGGGAAACATGCTTGGTAGGGGACGCTTCCGAAATCCTAGGGGCGGCAACCAATGCTAACTAACCGCTTTCTAGTGCATATTATTGCTGACAACTCGTCCAAGGTCAAAGCTGGACACCATCGCCATTCCACTGAAGCGATTGTAAGTGATCTGACCGCATGACAACTACGAAGAACCAAGCGCTAATGGACCCCTGCGCAGACCTTTCACAATGAGGAGGCAGGTGACATCGTGAGCTGGCTTACTCGAAGCGTCGCAGCTTCTGGCGGCAAGTGTATCATCGCATCTGCCTATGCAGTCTACAATGTTCTAGCTGCTGATCGCCCCGATCTCGTCCGAGCTCTGGCCGGTGGGGATTGGCCATTTGCCCTGTGAGTAGCACCCGAAAGACGTAGTACACGAACAGTGGCTGATGCTCCCCTTTTCTGTTCGACAGCCCACGGTTTCAGTGCCGCCCTGTCTTGTTCAACCACAATGGTCGTCTCATCATCAATTTTGGTAGGACACCATTGGTTGGCAGTGCAAGCCACCCTCGCTCAAGCCAGCTGCCAGGACTGAGCCTCCGGCAGATGGAGGCTCTTGATGCAGTCGAGGAGCTCGCCAAGAGCTTCCAGTTGGAAATCGTCACTCGAGCAGGCGACATCCACTTCATCAACAACCTTGCCATTCTCCATCGCCGTGAGGGCTTCCAGAATGGTACGTCATCCGGAGAGAAGCGACACTTGGTGCGAATGAGGCTCCGGGATGATGAACTTGCTTGGGCCCTCCCAGAGGAACTTCAGGAGGAGTGGTCTAGTGCCTTCGACGACACTAAGACCAGCAAGGTGTGGCATCTGGAACCCATGCCGGATGGCTACTTTCCGCTCAGATCACAGACGAATTAGGGCCTCAAAGCAAGAGTGTATGCTAATCTGAAAGCGGGCAAAAGGGCCGCAGGGATAGCGGCCAATCGTATGCGACAGAAGATCATGCATTGGGGAGGTTAGTGAGGTATGGTGATGACCCACGATGGGTTAGTGAGATGGCAGACTGGCCGGTGTGTGTCCGTGTGGCGGTTGGTGGGAAGCTGAGTTGTGCGAAGACGAACAGCAACATCGTGTGCTATGCGAATCATGTCTCTGGTTTCAGGTCAAGGTCAGGCGTCGGTTTGGTTTTTCTTTCGAAAAAGAAAGAAATTAGATCTAAAAGTTAGCTTCTTTTCTTGTATTCTGAATTCAACCACCATCTTCAAATTCAGATGCCGAGAATATGTGGCTTGATAATAGTGCGAAGCCTCTATCCGGGGTATATGCACCGAACGTGCACATTTCCCTGTCCAAGAAGGAGTGTGTCATATCATAAAGCTGATCGATGACTACTACCAGGCTAGTGTAAATCAAAGAAGCGGTATGGCGCTATCTGCACACCCCATCGGGAAATTTCTGAAGGAGTGTGTGTATGCAAAAGACAGATGACGAGAGATGACGAACCAGACGCGAGATTAGCCTGCTAGACGGGGGGATGCTAAGGAAAAGGTGCTGAGGGTGTTGGGGTTTGGAACAAGGACTGCTGCAGCCAAAACCACACACGGTATGGCACCAAAGTTGATGTTGGTGAATTGGGGTGGAACCTGTAAGCGAGCGCGTTGTACTTGAGATGAAACCATCTGAAGATGATGGTGACTAGTAATATTTCTCTCTTTGGACAGGGATCATAGTCAATCAAAAGAAACAGGGTGAGCGGGAAGCTGCAGGTCAACTCTGACAGCATTTGGATCGAGGAGAGGACTGGATAGACGGTGTTAGTATAAGAAAGAGTATTGCTGTAGTCGGAGTTTTACAATATTGACGGTATCTGAGACAATTGTTTGTTTTTTAAGGGGGGCAAGAGGGTTGTGCGTAATCCCAGTGGTCCTGCGGGTTACAGTGCAAGAAGAGACAGACTGGCGGAAGTCACAGTGTGGCGTGGCAAGGTGTGTATGCGTGTGTGTGTAGGTAGATATGCACGTATGTGCATGAATGCAGGACGTACATACGTGCGATTGTCCCTCCCAAGTGGAAGCTGAAGTTGAACGAAACCAACGACATCATGATCCATGAATGCGGCCGTCTCGCGTGGCTAGATTGGCCAGTATGTTCAGACTGGGCGGTGCTGTGCCGTTTCGCGGTGCTGTGTCTTAGAATTGTCTTGGCGACGAGCATTTGCTTGAAGGGCTGCCATGGGCGGCAGGTGACCTTGCTGCCAATCCAGAGGCTGGTCGACACCCATCTCGCTCCCAGTGCGGACAGCGCTTCTTGGTTCCTAGCCAGCGGGAGAGACGATGGTCCGCTGATCCCGAGAATACGTCAGGCGTGGACGACTCAAATCGAGGGCGGTGACTCCAGGCCATCAAGACAGATAAGGCTGACCTGCCTGCCTGCACCAATGCCCCGAATAGGGGGTACTGCGTGTCGGGTGATGTCTTGCGTTGTGCAAGGTAGTATTTGCTTTTGCTGTCGTTGGCTGTTGATGTCCTTTAGCTTGGGCTAGGCCGGGGGTTGGGAGGTTTTCGGGATGCCCCCATTGGGAAACGTGGAGTTTTGGGGAAGGAGCGGCCCACCAGAACCAGGCAAGTCCCAGGCGAAGTTGTCGCAAACGCCCAGGATGAGAGGCAAGTGCGGCCAGTCCCAGGCAAGAGCCATCAACCTGGCAGCCAAGTCCCCTGCTAGGCGATGTCGTTGCTTCTTTCTGGTAGGCAGTGCTTCACTAGCGATGACTTCCGGCGGCGACGGGCATCTGGTTGGCACAGGCTCTTGCCTGCTTTGGCCTGACTGGGGTATCCAGGCTATGGCGCCGTCTTTCCTCTCGAGGACATAGTCTTCGCACCCATCGTCGCCATCGTCACCGCCAACTCGGGTTAAAAGCAATGCTTGTCAGCTCGCTTGGCTGCAATGGCTGCTGACTCGACGAGGTTTTGCTTTTGCGAGGGAGGATCCCTCCTCTCCGGTTTCGCCAGCTGGCCTCGTACCAAGACGAGGCTCGTCACCGAAAATAGGAGATAGTGGAACCCACCTGGATATATGCGACTACTTTCCCTACCTGCATGTCGTTGGCTTGACTAGATTCAAAGGGCAGGCTAGGCATACATTAGACGAACCCGTATGCAAGTCCCTAAAAGAAGAAGGAAAAGGTTTTTCGACGGGACTTTCCAAGCTAAGACTTGGTTTCGTTACCCACAGGGTGGTCGAGAGTAAAATGGCCCAGAGTCGTTCAAATGATGGAGGAAGGTTGAAGTGCCTTGTGGCCCCTATCCGGACTTGCCTTACTAATAATAGGACTAATCGTATCCGACGGTCCACAGTACGAATTGATAGATCCTCTAGGGCCTAGCATCTCAAAACAATCAGCCAATGAATATGTACTTTTCAAAGTTCGGACAAAAACACCCTTCAGGGAGTGGAGGTTTCTATCAGCTAATGCAATCTTGCATAAAGAAATTAGATAAATTTCCCGCCGGCCGGCATACTGTACGTTGAATACGATATCGATCGCTGACTTGGAGATCTAGTCACTCGTACTGTGTCTAGCGGCTCCAGCCCCTGTTCGAATCGGTACGTACCTGCTGAGAGGCTGAAACGCTTATCCAGTTAGTGAAATGTATCGCCAACCATCGAAAGCAACAGCAACGAATGAGCTCCATCAACAGCATCCTTTCCTTCACTGGCTTCTGCCCGCACGCAATCTCCCCAAGCCGGAGCGGAATCGGAGCCATTTTATTGACGCGACTCCTCTCCGCCTATTGAGCGGCTGCACCGTATCCCTACCTGCCGGGTTGGATGTGTGGCTAGCCTGTGAAGCCTCCAGCACGCATCATCAGAAGCACGCCCGTTACACCCGTTACACCCCTTGCCACCCTGCCTCTGGCGACTGGGTCTTTTGTATACTCCGCATTGGATGTATACAACATGGCGGTGATGCCATCTTCAGCTTCTAACAACGCAACTCCGCCGGGCAGTGGCTCTTCTGGTTACCAATTGGTCCATCAGGATGAGAACCGCGATGCCGGTAATGCTCCGGATTTCGATAAGGAGGAAGCTCCCATCTACAGACCTCGGGAGGATAGGCGGTTTCGCAATGCAACCTACATTCTGACAGCATGTCTCGTGATTCTTCTCGGATATACCATATACTCTTCGCTTCCGCATAGCTTCCGGGGCTCCCCCCACTGCCCTTGCTTGCCATCAAAGGTTCCCCAGTACTTCCAGACCTATCCTGAACTATGGGCTGGGCCAACGGCCACAGGAGAAGCTGCCTTCATGGCTCAGACGAGAGTGGTTAATCCTACCGCCACCTATGTCCCTAACGAGCCTCTCCAGACCTCCATCCCCATTGAGGGCATGCAGCAGGGAAATGATAGCATTTTCAAGATGATGGGCTATCTTTCACCTTACTCTCCTTCTCCAGGCTTTGGAGTCAACGAGTATCCGCTCCCTGAAGGCGCAGAGATTGTCCAGGTTCAGATGCTGTCTCGCCACGGGTCCCGGTATCCAACAATGGGATCCCAGGTTGCCAAGCTTGGTGAGCGTCTCGCTGATGCTGCCGGCACCTTTAAGCCCAAGGGAGCCCTCTCTTTTCTCAAACATTGGAAATACCAACTTGGCCACGAGATACTTGTTCCCAAGGGCCGACAGGAGCTCTATGATTCAGGTATTGAACACTGCTATGCCTAGCCGTGGCTGGATTTTCGTTTTGCTGACTTGTAGAATGTAACAGGAGTCCTGCATAGTTACATGTATGGCAAATTGTACAACCCGTTGAGCAAGATCATTGTCCGAACAACTGTAAGTTTGACCTCCTACCTCATTTGCAGTGATCACTGTTCGCCAACCTTGGCCGCTTCTTAGACCCAGGATCGGATGTTGAAGTCTGCTGAAAATTGGCTCGCCGGCTTCTTTGGCCTTGAATGGTATGTACCCCCTTCTCAACCGGAAAGATAGGAGCGGATTCTTACAACTACAGGCCAAACAATGCCACCATTGAGGTCATCATTGAAGATGGGAACAAGAATAATTCGCTGGCCGGAGCTCTCAATTGTCCCAACTCGTGGCCCAAGGGCACCGGCAACGAGGCGACCGGGACCTGGACTGTGAAATACCTAGAGAAAGGTAGGTTGAGCCCACGGGAACAAACTCTTTAACCCTAAACTTCACACCGGCGTGTTCTGATGCGTATACAGCTGCGAGGAGATTTCAAGATATGACCGAGGGCTTCGAATGGACAGTCTCGGACGTCTATGCCGCTCAAACCATGTGCCCCTATGAAACAGTGGCATATGGCTATAGTAGATTCTGTGAACTTTTCACCTATGAAGAGTGGGAGAACTTTGGCTACTCCATTGATTTGTTCTTTGCAGGAATATGCGGCTTCCACAGCCCTACAGCAGTACGTTCAATCCCCCTTTTCAATCTTATCATATAACATGAGCAAAATGCTGACGCCTATTCTACCCTTACAGAGGGCTGTTGGCCTTGGTTACCAACAGGAAGTCATGGCACGACTCAAGAACCATACTTTGGGTTACTCTGGATCTCAGATCAATGTCACACTGGACAGCAACCCTGAGACATTCCCATTAAACCAGAGTCTGTACTTTGATTTCTCACACGACACCAACATCGTCGCGGTTCTGACGGCATTTGGGCTCCGCCAGTTTGCCGAAGAGCTGCCACCAACCCACAACCCCAGGGATCACACGTTCAAGGTCTCCCATGTCACCCCCTTCGGCGCCCGGCTCGATATCGAGGTCATCAAGGCCCCCAAGCCCGTCTCCCCGAATCGTGACGGTTTCTTAAGCGGCGGCGAGACAAAGTACATTCATTTCGTCCTCAACCAGCGCACACTGCCACTGGGACTCAGCTTCCCAGAGTGCGACGCCTCCCGCAAGGACGGCTGGTGCGAGTTCGACACCTTCCTCAAAGTCCAGGACACCATGGCAGAGAGGGCACGGTTCGACTACGCCTGCTTTGGCGAGTATCCAAAGGTCCCGTACCAGGACGTCACCGATGGCGCACCCATTTCCTAGCCGTCGGTCGTTTCTCCCATCCTTCGTTACCCTCTCGTCTTATCGTACTGCCGGACCGAGCTGGTCTGGGACATGTCTTGGCTTCTGTGGCGTTATTTCCCTCTCTTGTGATCTCATTTCTTGCTGTTTCAGATAGTTCATTGGCAATTGGCGACATCTGGCCTCGGGTCCCATGGAATTTCATCTTACTTGGGGGTGGCATCAAACATCAAAGTGTTATCGCTACCCTTCTACATAGCACCTCCCCCTAATAAAACAACAGACCCGTAATGTCATCATAGCACGCTCACCGGCTGTAGACCGAAGGAGGGGCATTAAATTCCAATTTCAGGAGAGTTCAGCACAAGCCGCGGTCAGACTAGCGGAACCTTCTTCAATGTCACCGGTCCATACCGTATGCAGCAAAGACAAACCCATTTCAAGGCAACATGAAAACAAGACGGATAATTTCACACGTGCTTATCGATGTATTTTACGAAAGAAGAATTGCCCTGTTTTTCAATGTTTGTTTTTCAATGTTTGGTCTATTATGTGTTGTTCAATATATAAGCCTAATAGAACCTCATGAAGTCCTTCCCCTTGAGTTTCCATCAGTGCCAGGCAGTAAACGATAGTAACCCATCTAGCGTACAGCAGAATCCGATCCTGCGGGTATTCATTCCCTTTCAACAACAGCTGTTCCCAAGAAATAAAAAATAAATAAAAAAATATTGCTTGGCATCACCAAAATGATGAGCAGCACCCGTAAAACTCCTAGCACCCGCTGGCCCCAACACCTTTTTTTCTGTATCCGAGAAAAAAAAAACGTGTTGATTTTTAAAAAGAGGAATAAATGGATAATGGGCTTTCAAAATGAAGCAGAAGATAGGGAGGGCTAGATATGAAGCCTCCCAGGTAGTGATATCGCATGGTATGACAGTCTAGAATATGTGGGGGTGTTTGTTGGATCGAGCATATCATATTGAGGGGGGGGAGCCAGCCCATTTTTTTTTCTTTAGTTCTGCTTCTCATTCTCAGAAGAGCCATTGGTAGCATCTACAGCCACGGGCTCGGCGTCCTTCTTGTCGCCGCCTGCTGAGCTGGGCGGGGTGGTCAGGTTGGCGTGCTCCTGGATGCCGTGGGTGGGCTCGATGCCGTGGCCCTCGGGGGCCGGGTCGTCGCGGGCAGGGCTCCAAGCGAGGAAGTCGCGGCGGACCTCGACGTAGTCGTAGGAGAACTCGCCGTGCTGGTCGTCGTCCATGCCGAGGAGCTCGGCCTCCTCGGAGGCGCGGAGCTTGAGCCCGGGGATGAGGTCGATGCCCTTGGCGAGGATGGCGGAGACGACGAAGGCGTAGGCGCACGAGGCGACGATGGCGGCGATCTGCCAGCCGATGGAGACGAAGTTCTTGTCGAGGAAGCCGCCCGAGGCGCCCGTGTTGACGCCGTCGAGGCCGATGATGCCGCCGCTGGCGAAGAAGGCGTTGAAGAGGAGGCCGACGATTCCGCCGATGCCGTGCTCGGCGAAGACATCGAGGGAGTCGTCAATGCCGACGAGGAACTTGACTATTGTTTTTGTTAGCATGGGATGATTTTAGGGATGATATGATAGTTGACTCACTCTTTGTGCCAAAGTTGCAACAGACACCAGCAACAACTCCGAGGATGATGCTGGCCCAGGGGTCGATGAAACCAGAGGCAGGAGTGGCAGCGACGAGGCCAGAAATGGCACCGGAGCACCAGCCGACCATGGACCACTTCTTAGCGAGGCGGTAATCGAGGATACACCAGGTGGCGGCGGCGAACATTCCAGTCAGGCAGGAGTTCCAGCAGGCCATGGCGGCACGGAGGTTGGCGCCGAAGGCAGAGCCGCCGTTGAAGCCCAGCCACCCGAAGAAGAGGAGGATGGTGCCGAGGGTGATGAGGGAGATGTTGTGGGGGCGGAAGTTCATCATCATCTTCTCGTTGCGGCGGCCGAGGACCCAGGAGTAGGCGAAGGCGGACATTCCGGAGCCGATCTCGACGGGGACGCCGCCGGCGTAGTCGATGACGCCGTGGGTGAAGCCCCAGCCGTTGGCGTTCCAGACCCAGTAGGCGAGGGGGCAGTAGACGATGGTGGCCCAGCAGAAGATGAAGACCATGGCGGGGATGACGCGGCCGCGCTCGGCGACGGCCCCGATGGTGAGGGCAGCGGTGACGCCGCAGAACATCATCTGGTAGAAGGAGTAGAGAAGGGCGGGGACGAGGGGGGAGCCCTGGGAGGGAGCGCCCCAGACTCTCATGAGGCCGAAGTTGTGGAGGTCGCCGATGAAGGGGTTGTTCGAGGTCGTGCTGAAGGCCAGGGAGTAGCCCCAGAAGTACCACTGGAAGACGATGACGCTGAAGGACATCATGACCACCCAGAGCATGGAGAGGGCGGACTTTCTGCGGGCGAGACCGGAGTAGAGGAAGGCGATTCCGGGAATCATCAGCATCACCAGGGCGGCGCTGAGGAGGATGTAAGCCTGGTCACCGGATTGGTACCATTGGTTGAGGTTCTCGGTGGCTGTAAATCAAGAAGAGGCACTGTTAGAGAAATGGACTCGTGCATGGCAGACGAGCCGGTTTGCTCCCTTAGACTTACTGGAGTCACCACCCAGTTCCTCATCTGTTCCATTGAACACGGTAGGAGGCCCGGTCGTTGAATAAGACATGGTGGATATTGTGAACAAGCCCCAGACAAGATGGAAGAGAAGATTTTGGACACTGTTTATTGAAGAGTTGGTTGTGCCAGTCGAATTATACGAGATGGATGAGTTTGTTCAAGTAAGCTACCCAAATACTATGCAATGCAATGCAACGACGGATACTCCAGATGGAGAGATGGGACGAGAAGAGCGGAGGAGGAGGCGACTTAATAAAGATATCTCGACTGGAGACCAGGTTACGGCCCCCCTCCCCCCAAGCCATGGCCTCCCATGTGTATCAATCACACTTGCCATTAAGTGTACTCATAGAAACTATGCAACAAACGGCTATCTTGATAAGAAGCCCTGCAGATCCCTGACTGACTGCTGGGTCTGGTCTGGGAGATCAAATGGGGAACGGGCCCATCCCATCCACCCTGGGAAAGTACGGGGGCGCCGCCGGTCGGGGCTTCGTCTGGCTCTGGTGCGCAGAATCGATGTATAATCTGCCCGTCTGTCTGTATGTAATTGGTATTCTGGCGGAAGAGGTCTGATACTTGGCTCGAGACGGTCCCACCACTCCATTCTCTAGCCTCCGGAAGGACCCTCTTAGTCCGGTTGGGCATCTTTTTGATTACAGAACGAATTGACATTGAAATCAGTGATCTCTGCCTGGGCCAGAGGCACGAAACCAGGGGCCCCAGAAAAGAGAGTCTCCAGCTAGCTGGAAGCGTGGATTGCCTCGATCTTTTTGCCCTCATCGCCAGGCAGCCCGGACGTGGGGTGGGAAGGGGACAGAAAAATCAAGAGGCGCTGTGAGACATGTACCTAAGCACCTGTTATCTGGCAGTCCATGGCCTTGCATTGGTCCACGTCCCAATACATCGACGAGGCTTAATATTGAATCTTGGGCTTGGACCACACAGAGGCTGACACGGGCTGCCTCCTTGTTCCTTACTTCCCTTGTCTTGGGGTTCCAGCTCAGTCTGGACATGCATAAACCTAGATCTGTCGAATTGGAGTCGTCGAGCAAATCTATGTGGCGTTTTGCCATCTTATGGGGTGTGGCTCTAGTCGAGATATCAGAACAAGGAACACTCACTCCCTCGATCCCCTTACATACACCCTTCTCCGTTCCCCCAATCCCCACCTTGCTTTCACCTTAACGACCCCAGGTCTCTATTTTTCACTCTTTTCTGTTATCACATCGATATCAATGCCGATTCAGCTGAGGTGGTGGTGATGATGATAGCGAGATACAGCATGACAGCCTCCTAGGCGAGACAAGCCAGGCAGGCTCTGCAACCGTCCACGGCTCAGCTGCCATGTCGAACCGCTCGACGCCCCGTGCCTGGACAAGATCCAAATCAATTAGCCAAATCCATCACGTCAACTCCTCGTGTCATGGCCGTCCAGCTAAGCCCTCGGTCAAACGCTGCCCCCAGGGCCCAGGCGTTGAAAATAGCAATGGAGATAACAGAAACGGAGTGCCCTGATTGGCAGATACGGGCCTGATCAATTCGGCAACGTAAAGCAACCTAAATCGGGGGAAGAGCCAGAAGTGGAGCCGCAGGGCGACAAGTTGGGGAGAGGGCCGCCAGCCGTGGCTTCCTGATCGTGTGAGAGGGTGTGAGAGGCCCGAGTCGTTTCCATTACCTCGACCCATTAATCCGCGAAAGTGCCCCCGCCCAATCACAGCCCGCGCGCCCCTGTCGTGAATTACGACACTGCATCTCGTCAGAGCTTCCTGATTGCCAACTTGATTTCATCATCGCCTTAGAAACCTTGGTGTGTCGAGATAGAAAACTGCCACTGCCCGGGACCCTGGGGCCCTTATTTTTTTCGTTCGTCTGAGCCGTCTCGGCATCCGATCGCATCCCTCCATCCCATTGCCTCGGGCCTGCATGGCTGATTTCCGCTTCCATTACCCCAGAACCCCCCCCCCGTGCCAATCTAGGTACCGCGCCATACTAGTTTCCGCTGCAAGGTACTTCCAGTCTCCATTACCTCATATCGCCAGTGCCGATTATGTACTGCGAATCTGCACACCTGGTATCTACTAGCTGCCCTCACGTCACTTTATCGGTCGAGTCATGGCGCGTCCGTTGGCCCTTTCAGCTCCAGCCTAGCTGAAGCACAGCTGGCCTCCGCCTTGGCAATTTACTTCCACGCGAAAGCAGACGTTTAATGACGTGACACTTGGCCCCAAACGGATGCTTCACCTCCAGCTTTGTATTGAGCTTATCTTGAGCAATGCCTGATTCACACTGCCACGGTTCCCTCTGGCAACCCGTAATACCATGTTGCCAATAGGAGGGATCTCATCTGCAGCCTCACTTGCCTACTTAGCTATTCCTAGAACAAATTGTTTTAATTCCCACCATATCCATTATATCCATCTCACGCCATTCCCGAACCGAAACATCCAGTGGTGACAAACAGAAAAAACAAAAGACAATCGAAAAGATTCAGCACAGACCTCGCTTTCGTAACTCATCTCAAACATTTCAAGGCACGTCCACCTTGCCAATAAATGGAAGAGTAAAATTGAGCAGAGATAGAACGGCCCTGCTGAGCCAGGGTAAGGATGAAGTCAGAGATGAGCTCGCTGGCTTCCCACCTAGGCAAGAAAGGAAGTAGAAAGAACGAAAACAGAGAAAGCAGAAACACACTGGCAGAAAAGAAAAAGCCAAAATCAAAAATCGTAAGAATCATAGTCCAGAAATACATTATCAGAACAGACAGATCTTGCCCGTTTGCTCGTTTCTCGTAACTTCGTAAGAAAAGATGTCGTGGTTTTGGTAGTGAAGCATCAGCCGGTATCGTCGCGGGAGGGACGCCCCTCTTCCAATCTGCTCACCATTTTGGTCGCCATCATCAGGTATGCGGCCGATTGCCATCCCATGGAGGGCTCGCCTGGTTGTCCGATGGTTTCTTTCATCTATTTTGTTGGGAAGAACCCATTCCACTCGGATTCCGCGCCTCCACATCCCTCGTCCCTTAAAATCGTTCTCCTTGGAGCGCAGCCGAGTCAATGATGCGACCAGCACACGTCCCGTTGGCGATCCGAGAACAACGATGCACATCTCGGGAACATGTGCCAGCAGGCTGAGTCTGCTTGTTGCCCGGAAACTCCACGAGGTGAGCGGATCCTGGAAACGCTCAAACTCGAGAGCATTACCACAAAACATGCCAATATCTCTCCGCAGCTCTGCCCCTGGCCGCGGGAGCTCAAACAACTCGAAGTCCTTTTCGTATGCTCGCAGGATGCGATATCCTGGTGCTAAGCGTTCAAAAGCACCATACAGTCGGGTGCGGTTCATGTTATAGTCCATGCTGGATGATTTGGCGAACATGATCCGCGAGGATTTGTCCATAGGTGCTGGCGTCACCTCCGCGGTATGCGGGTAGTATATCATTTGCAACAGTCGCTCCAGGATCAGTGGGCTTGGCTCTGTAATCCTGGTTTCAGGCACCCGGCACCCGTGCCTGGGACATTGCAATATAGAATTGGAGGAATTGGCCAAAGCCACGTGCAACTGTGGGAGAGAGGAGCCGATATGGGGCAGGGCATCCTCGAGCTCACCAAATGCGTCTTCTAATTCTCCCAACGCGTCGCTCAGATCCTGAAACGTGGCCTCGAAAGGCCACGCAAGCTGTTGAATCTGTGCTGATCCGCTCGGCGGATGCGCTGCAAGCCACAAGGCGTGAGGAGGCGGCTGTACTTCTGGCAGTTGCTCGAAGTCCTGGAACACATGCTGTAAAGGTATAACGCTCACGACATCTGCCATGGGCGTAGGCATAGAGCCCCCAGGGTCTGCTGCTACTGCCTCACTACCCAGGATTCCGGAATTGCCGTAATCAAAGTCGTCATCGCCATCGTCGTCATCCTCATCCTCATCCTCATCTTCATCTTCATCATCCTGATCATCCTCATCCTCCTCGTCTTCATCTTCATCTTCATCTTCATCCTCGTCTTCATCATCATCCCCATCCTCGTCCTCGTCTTCATCCTCGTCATACACATCATCATCCTCACCTTCACTACCAAACCCATCACCAAATAGAATGAAATTCTCCTGTGGTACCGCCATCATCTGCTCGAGAGGATTATGAAAATGCTCGAGCAACGCCCGCCTCAATACAGACCTGTCTGTATCAGATGGCCGGCAAGGATTCTCAGGGATGTTTTCAAGAACTGGCTGTATCTTGGCCAGAGGCTGAGTCAACGATTGCCGGGATGACTTGATGGTACAGTCATGTTCGGGGAACCCAATGAGTTCCTCCACAGTCTTCACTTCCATGTAGCAGCTATCAGTGAATGCAAGAACTCCCCAACCTCTGTGAAGAAGCCTTGGTCAGTATGCTTGTATGCTTTGTGTTAAGGAAGGCCGTGTCCTGTTGGACTCACCTCGAGACTGAAGGATAAAACTCGTCGCTGATGATGTCCTGCCCATCAAATGGGGGGATGTGCGATGCAGCCTGTTTCGGTTTCCAGATGTCCGCAATCCATATCGAACCCTTGATATCGATTGCGCAGACCTTCTCGGCATTCCCTTCCCTGTTGTCGAGAAAACAGACATTTGGCAAGTTATCTGCCTCCTGGCCCAGTAGTATAACAATCCTCCACGTACGCTGTCGCTGACGGACCCAAGATTCAACATCCTCACGTGGCTCAATCGGCGCAGGTGTCCGGGGCTGTCCAGAGGTGTTGTCATGCAGGGCGAATGCGAACACAGTTACCTCCCAGCGGTTGGAGCTGATTGCAATCAGTCGAGACTGCTGATGGATGGCCAGTCCCCAGGCGGATTTTCCGACATTCTCGTGAAAGAATTGTCTTGGGCGGGGTCTCTTGCCATGATTCGGCGCGGACTGGGTGTCTTTCACGGGAGTTGTAGCTTCAGCGGCTTGCTTCGTGCCTAGAACGTAGTCTGCGACCTCCTTCGTCTTGTAAGCGGTCACATCCCCATCATCATGCGCTGCGAGGACAATCTCCTCGTGGCCAAGATACCCCGTAATGATGTGGTTGATGGCGTGCGCACTATGTGCGTCGAGGAGCCCTCCAACCGCCCGAGCCTGGTCGCTCGCGGGAGGCTTGAGCTGCAGATCGGGATGCCGGGGGAGAGCGTTCTTGGCACCGCTCCTTAATCTGTACACGAAGATACAGCCTTGATACGCTACGAAGTAAAGCTATTGCCGTCAGCATCCAGATCAGGGACAGGTCTAGGGAGCATCAGGTATGTACATTGTATAGTTGCGAGAGGGCAGTCAAATTATTCCGGTTCGACTGTATGGACGGGACCGATCTATAAATGGATCTGTCGGCAGCATCGACCTGCTCATCTTCGTCCTCGCCATCGCCACTCCCGCTCGGCCAGAGAAACGGCGGCTCATTACCCTCGTGTGGCACACCCAGAGCCAGCCGCTCTCGATCTCGTATGGCGCTCTCGGCACCGGGACCGAACTGCATCCCCCCCAGCATCAGCATGTCTTCTTTCGTGCTATTAAATTACCATATTCTAGGGGTATAGGCCTACACGGTCCGCTGCGGTCTGGACGTGGCATTTTCCAATCGCTATTGGCTTGAACTTCCTAGCAGGTACGACTTTGGGAGACGGGCTCTCCATGTGAGACAGCGGTTTATGGCGCCGCTAGGATGCGTGCGGCGCAATACGCTAGGAGCCCAGAAACATTGGATATATTTGAAAAAGCTGGAGCTGGCGTCGTATGCAGAGTGTAGGCGATGGGCAAGCTGTGTTCAAGTGTTGAATGGGAAGGCTGGCATTGTGCACAAAAGGTGGCGAGGGGTCCGAGTTGAAGGCGGTTAATAAGGTTATCGATAAGAGCTTCGGAACACTTAGCGGGGGAAGGCTCTCGGGTTGGATGAGTCGCATCGTCCAATTGCATTAGCGCCCGCCCAGGATAGCTCTGGAGCTACCTCAACAGGTGCATACACAGCGTGATGCCAAGCACTACTACACATCAGATTGAAAACTAGAGCTGGAAATATTACGACAGAAGGCACAATATAATTATTCAAGAAGCAAGAATCATGGTATTTGAACCCTAAACCTAAGTACCTACTTGAGTTTAGGGAGGTAGCTATCCTGTTGGGAAGCTCCCAATCATAGCAAACTAAAATGTACATATACCCAAATCAAAACGCCGCATCATTTTCATATCCTATGGAGATCCGTTCTAGGGTCTTTCACTGATTGATAAGTTCAGTCATATCCTTCATCCGGTAATCCACGATGGGAGTTACCCAGTCATCCTCCAGCACCGAGTATCCTTCGTGAATATCACCCTTCGGCTTGCGCGGATTCAAAGCCCAGTATCCAAAATCAGTGTCAACCTTCTTCAGATACTTCATCATGTTGTGCCAGTAATGGGCGTCCCCGAGATTCGGGTACCGCGGCGCCCCAATCTCACCGATCCAGACGGGCGCAATGTCCTGCTCCAGGAGGTAGGACCAGTTGTGGCGCATCGTCCGGACGAAAGACTCGTAGGATCGCTGTAGGAACCTACCCTCCGTGCTGCCCCAGCCGGACCACGCGTAGATGTGCGCGGAGTAGACGAGCTTGTTCTCCACGTCCAGTATGACGGGCCGCGTCCGGGCGCCGGAGACGTCGTTGGCCGACTCGGTCCCCGCGACGAAGATCAGCCAGTCTGGGTTCATCTTCAGCAGGCGATTGCCGGCCTTCTCGGCGGCAGTCGCCCATTTGCTCCAGGGCATTGTCCCCCAAAGACCTCGAACCTCGTTTCGCAGGTCGGCGCCGATGACCAGAGGATTGTTCACGTGCGGCCTCATGACGGTCTCCCAGTTCTCTATCCACTGCTCTTCTGTCTGTTTCACTCGGCATATGGGACCCAAGTGGTCGTTGGACCATCCGGAGTCGCAGGGGTCGGCGCCACAGCACCACACCGCGGTGGTGATGTGGTTGTTCATGATGACGGCAATCCCGGCATCGGTAAGGGCGACTGTAACGGCTTCGAGGATATCCAACGCGCGAAGCCCAATGAGATCCGGGTTGGCAGTTAGCAGCCTCTCCTCGACTATGGGGTTCTTATACACCAGCTCGTCGGCATATGGGAGTCGCACGCTATTGAAGCCCAGCTTCTTGATCGACTCGGCGATGACGCTGCGGTGCACGACATCGAGGCCGCCCGTGACGAAGAGCTCATCGCTGGCTCCGTACCAGTTCACCGACGCCAGCTTGAAGCGGCGTCCGCGAGCGTCGACAATGTTCCGTCCCTTGGTGCTGAGGGGGAGCTCGTAGTTCGCAATTTTGGTGTGCTCCTTCGCGGGGGGGATGGGGTGCTTGGCGAACTCCCGGCTGTCCTTGTCAGGGAACCACGGGATTTGATACGGGCCCTCCGAGTGCCAGAAGTAGAGCAGGCCGCCTAGCATCAGCGTGACAATGAGGAGGATAATCATGGCGAAGCGAGATGAGAAGAGGCTCCGCGGGTTACACCGGAACCGTCGACGACGTTGTTTGAGAGGATATGGCTCTGCGCTATCGTGCGATGGCGAGAAGCCACCAGGCAGCGTGTCCGTTAGCTGGATGCGGCCGCTAGCTTGGCCGGTAACCCTTCTGAACCACGCCGCGACCTGCCCGCCAACGCGCTGGACTCCACCGGGGGCCATGTTGTAGCAGGGGTGTTATGTGCCAAAGATCAAGCTCGCCCGCTATTACAACATCTGACCGCAAAGGCCCTAATGTACGCCGGTGTCCTTTTCTTTTCAACCGCGGTCAGAATATTGGTTATTCTCGATATTTCGCGCCGTCATGTAGCGACCAGCTTCGGGCTTGGTACTCCGGGCGTATCTAGGTATGCTGCCACAGGGCTGACGTTGCTGTGAGACACAACCTTGGATGATGCCCAACTTGGACATCAAACTGCAGTGGAAACCTCAGAAATGAGTAATTCCACGAATGCCGTGAAGCAGGCAATAAAACTTCGCAATAGGAGCGGATATGGTGAACTGTGACATTTACTCTACGTAGTGGTACCACCTGGGGGCAAGGCCGATCTTTTAAGTCAACTGAGCCTCATCAATGCATCGTTGGCCTTCTCTGACACGCGCATGTTCGGGAAACTGAGGTGTCCGCATCACCCGGGTCAGGCAGCATGATTACCAAAAAAAAATCGGGTCTCTGGGCCTGTGCTCCCCTCGTCTTCGTGCTCGCACTTCTGGATGTTTCGTTTCTCGCGCCCCGAGCTTGCCTTCCGAAGCTGCCGAGAGGTTTGACTTGGAATAAAGCCTTGGATAAGATTAATGGGAACAGCGGGTAGACACCCACCAGTGACAGTCTCAATCACAGGGTTTGCGCATGTGTCTGCCATCCAGAAATCAGATTTGGAATCTCGCAGATCCCAACCCACCCGGATGTCGTGTGACAGACTGGCATATTGGGACATCCGGCATTACGTCGGTGACGCCATGTCTTCGCTCTCGGGCCCGGCGTAGATTCCGGCTTTTGATTCTGTTTGTGCCTCTTCTCTTTATCTCTTGCTCTCGGAGAAAAATAGCTTGTTTGGCATCCGGGAATATGTATATCCAGGAGCAGTTGCCTATTAGTGTGTACTCCAAAGGTATGAGTTAAACATCAAGCAACTATTAACATGAGACTTCGCAAGCGAGAAGATACGGTCAGTCAAAGTTCTATGTAGTTTTTTTTTTTTACTAATTGAGATCCCTGCTCTACCAAGTTTCCAGGTCTATGAGATAATCTTTCCGCTGCTTCCGTGTCCACCACCAATCATCTAAAAAGGGAAAAAAAAAGCTTGAGGGGCTTAACCTTGCATGGATCGTTGTACAGTATCATCCCAAAAAGGCAGACGCCTTTCAAATGCGCGGGACACTCGGATAGCGCCAAGCGAATCATTCGAGGTCAACGGTTCTGAATCCTTAACCCTTGACCGCAACATCACTAATCTGAGCGTTTTACATGTGCGCAGGGGCCAAAAACTAGCTGCAACATTGCAACGATGCCGCCTAGACATGGTGATAGCTATGTCCGGCTTGGTGAAATGTCTGAGTGGGTTCCGTATTTTCCAACGGTATGAATAAAAGAATCCTCGGGCCGTCGCTATATTCCCGGCGGTGTCATGAGGCGGCCCTGTGTTTTTCCCCTTTCCCCTTGATTGCGAAGATGAGGTAGCCCTGTCGTTCGTCACGACGCCACTTCCAGATTATCGGGGTATCGTTATATTCATTATAATCCTTCACTTGCTGGAAGAGTATCCAGCTCTTTCAGCAATATCAGGTCGTTTCTCAACGACGAGATTCCCGAATACTGTTCATCCGCAGGGGGTTGATATTGTTGTCGAAGTCATTTGGGTTTGCGTATGACGTGCTCGGATCCCAGGGTGGCCGGCTAGGTGGGCGAGGGTTCGAGAAAGACTGCATCGGGGCGTTATAGTGATATCGTGCCGACTCGGGGAAATAATCCGGGGTATATCTCTGGCCCACGGGTGGCGGGGAAGTGACTGGAGACATCGCTGTTACTTCAAGACTCCTATCCTTTGAGAGCATCTCGTACGAACGTATTTCTTTACGGTCTTCAAACCGGGCATCAGCAGAAACGAACTCGTTCTTGGCGCGCTTAGGCAGCCCCAAAAGTTCATACCATCCCACCACCATGGACCAGCGGCCAAGAAGGAACAACAGCCATACGCCATTGAGCTGGTTTTATAGAGTTAGTCAAATGTATACACGAGGTGGGTTCAACCAAGGAAACTTACCGCAAGTAGCAGCAGGACGGCTGTGACGGTGGCTTCATTGACAACCAGGTGGCCTGCCTCGCTCAAGCACGCGTTCTTGTCGCCCTTGTTGGCGATAAGGCAAAGAGACCAATCCTCACCGATCGTGGGGTCCGTGGTTACTGACTGGACAACATTGTCCTGGAAAACAAAGATAACAGAGAAGAAAATGACATCAGCGATGATGATCAAAACGATAGCAATTCCTCGCCACTGCAGCCCGATGACGCGCCTGACACGGCGGTACGCTTGCCTGGGGCTCATGCTGTTCGAGATGGAAGCCAGAGTCGGCAGGCCGGAACCTTCAGTCGACTCGCTATGGTCCGACAGAGATGCGAGGTAAACCTTGATGCAGTATCCAAAGGTTACAAAGGTAATAATGACAGTCAAGCCTGCGAAAGCAAGCAAGGGGATCCAGAAGTCTGCGAGACTATTCTTGTGGTTGATATGGCAGGTGGCGCCAAAGCGGAAGGACAGTCCGCTGAAGAGGATGGCAAGAATGACACCGATGATTGGTACTCCCCAACCAGCCGCTTGAGAAAATATCATAAAGTTGCGTCCAACAAGAACCTGCCAACAGATCTGCAGGTGAAGGGACAGCGACCGGAGGAACACCCACATCACGCCAGCCCAACCTCCAAGGATCAGGAAAGCACCAGAAGCGCCGCACACTGGGTTGGTATGCATGTTATTAGGCGTGATGGTGTTATAGCACTGCTCCGGCTGAGCTGCCAACGGTATCACGAACCCAAGCTGTGTCAACGAAGTTAGAAAGGCATCTCAGGGATAGGGGGAAGCTCTCATCATCGACGTACATTCATGAGAAGAACGGCTATTGTAAGGCAGACGCTCAGATAATGGCGATTTGTCTTCTCCACAGGCAGAGCAACCCATGACAAGAGCAGGAACACACAGAATATTACACTGGCAGTAGCAACCCAATTTGCAGCAGCCGACAGGGTATCGAAGCGATCTGGATATACCCAGTCCGTCATAGGACAAGGGAGACAGCATGTCAGCCCTGATGAAAATGTCGAGCACAACCTTCCTTCCACGACTGTCATCGTAGTTAGCAAAACATGGGCTTGGAAAGCGGCTGCTTTAGCACTCACATCCACCATCTTCTGGGAATAGACTGGTATCGTAGAAAGGCTTTGGGCAAAGGTTTATCGTTGGCTGGTTAGCCATGGCGGGCAAGCAACACCTCGGGTGTCTCGAGTGTCCGGTCGATGAATCGCAAGGTAAATATTAGGGCTCTGAGCCTATCCCCGTCTTGTTGTCGTTCAAACTCCCGTCTATGCAATAAATATCACACAATGCCGCAGTTCCGTCGTTTTGCGGCGCCCAAACAATATCAAGATTATATTCCGCCAGTAGAGGTTGATGCCGTAGGTGCTGGATTCAAATCGTATATTTTATATTAAGCTGAGAGCCTCGGGGTAGCACGCCGGTCTGTGGGTAATTGGTCGCATGCGCTTCTCGAGAAGCGGACGAGTTGGTAGCAAGTGTCTTGGACGTTCGTGTACTACACTGGCACGAGGCGAGGCATTGTCTCTCAACCTGAAGGAGCGCTTAAGCAAGGAGAGAGAGGGAAGGCTGGAGATATCAAAATACAAGAATAGAATTACACCAAACGGACAAAGTGAAGAAGATCAGCAACAGCAAAGCACTTTAAGGGACATCCAGCAAGCTGGGACTGAGGGCGGGCAGGACATGCTATAAAGTACGTGCGCAAAGGCACACGAGGACTGGATGCCGTCAAGTGGAGGCACCCCTGTCGGTCGTCGAGGCCGGCATAACCTTTGCAATGGGAGGGATGGGGCAAGGGCTAGATGGGGGCCAGGATGGGGACGTACGAGAGCGAAGCGTCGACTAGAATGGCAAAAGACATGGCCGCAAGCCATCTCTGCACGCGATTGGGAGGGGCCTGAGATGGGCAGGGCGTGTTGAGGTGTGAGCTGAGGACTGAGTGTGACCAACGGCATGGCCGTCTGGGAATCGGTGCGGGGTGGAGCTGGCGAGCGGCATCTGTTAGTGGCTGTGAGGAGGAAACACAAGGCAGGGGATCCCGGGATCAAGAGCTGACGATGGTACCTTGCGAAGCTCCGTGATGGCCCACCTCTCCAGCAAGGGTCGCTATTCGGGGCGTCCAGGGGCACGACTGCAAGTCCTTGCTGCTTGCAGCTGTCGGAACGGCGATGCCTCCACTGAGTGACAGTCGACTTGCTGCCCCTTCTCCCCCCACAATCAATCCTACACCACGCGTGCAGACACCCCCTACTGGCCACTCGAAGGTTGCAGGCCGTAACATTGGGTGGGAGGGGTTTGGAGGCGTCGATCATAAGCCGGCATATGGTTGGCTCTGTCCGGCCAGAATGCGCTTGTTGGACGCTGGGCCAGACCAAATTTCATTTCGCCTCGTACGAGAGATACGAACAATACCTATGAATGGCTGTTGCTCGTCGAGTCTTTGGAGGCGACATGGGGATGCCTCCCTCGAGGCTTGACCGTCCTCTGGCCTACTCGCTGTACCGGCCCCCTCCTTCCTGTCCAGCGCGAATCCCTTCCCGGGCCTGCCCTACACAGTCAAGGGCATGCTGGCTTGCACCTTCCACGGATCACCTTGGAGAGGAAACGGCAGGTACCTTCACCTATCTTTGTTACGCTACTACGCTGTCTCGTCTCTGAGCCCGTTGGTCTGGATGAGGGTGTGCGAATGGCCAGTGTCCCTGTGCGACTCAGCGTCTACTCCTCCACCTCCTCGACCGCCAAGCAAGCCGTGATAGGCTGTGGTCCTGACTGTCTCCCCAGCGCGGTGCGTATCTTGTCGTGTTTGGACACTTGAGATGTACTAACGCGCTCCATAATAAAGTGGGCGTT